CACACACACACACACACACACACACACACACACACACACACACACAGATTCTGATTTAGCAGGTCTGGGCAGGACCTGGGAGATTGCCTTTAAACACTGGGTAGTGAGGAGGTAGAGTTCATGAGGGTGCTCGCTTGCACTACCCCACACCTTGGAAACTGCCTGGTAGAATTATTGGAATACCCACTTCTCCAATGGGAGGCAGTTGGCTAGGAGGTTCCCAGGAGGTTTTGGGAGATGGTTCTAGGACTAGTTCATACATTTGAGCACTGACAAAGGAAACTGCTGGCATATAGGATGTCTCTGTTACCCTGAGCAGCAGAACAAGGGTTCATGGGGAATTGAGGCTTGTGCCACCCTGGTAGCCACTGCTGGTGTAGGAAGCCCCAGCCTACTAGGAGCCTTGGCCTTGCCCTGACCATACTGAAAGGTCCAGGTGTCCAGGTGGCTGCTAAGGTGGCTCCCTCCTTGGCCAGGTACCGTGGGCAGGGAGAGGTGCAGTTGGTCAGCCTCCTGAGTGCTCTTGGAGCTGTGTCTTTGTTTAAAGAGTTATTTTTATTTGCATATGTGTGCAAGTGTACCTTACATGCATTTGGTGCCAGTGAAGACCTTGGATTACCTAGAACTGTAGTTAACAGGTGGAAGCAAGCTGCCTGGTGTGCATACAGGGAACCAAAAACGGGTCTTGTGGAAGAGCAGTAAACATTCTAAACTGCTGAGCCGTCCCGTTAGCCCTGCATTTATATCTGTGTGTGTGTGCATGTGCATGCATTTGTATGTGTAGGTGTGCACGCCTATGTATGTGCACAGAGGCTAGAAGAAGGCATTCATTGGGTTTCCTCTTCTGTTACGTCCCACCTATTCCCCTGAGGTGGGGTGTCCTCCTGAATCTGGGGCTCATCTCTTGTGTTGGCCCCAGTGATAGGTTACAGGCATTTGTAGAGACACCTGGGTTATTATGTGGGTACTAGAATCCAAACTCTGATCCTCATGATTATGAAACAATCACACTTAACTACTCACCAAGCCTTAACTACTGTTTGTTCTTTTGAAACAAGGTCTTATGAACCCCAGGCTAGCCTTGAACTACTGTTGCCCATGTTTGCATGTGCTAGGATAATAGGCATAACTCATTGTGGCATATTTGGAGCATTTCTTACCCCATCTGTTCTCTGTCCTATTAGGGAAAGGGACTGTTTGCCACACAGCTGATCCGGAAGGGACAGACCATCTTCGTTGAAAGACCCCTGGTGGCTTCGCAGTTTCTCTGGAATGCACTTTATCGGTACCGGGGTGAGTGCATCTTGCCTGCTTCAGGTGGCTGCTGGGCTTGTCCATTTTGTGCATGGAAGAGAGCCACACATATCTCCTGGCCGACCCTCTGGGAGATGTTGGGAGGAAATGCTGTCTTTCCATGGAGAACTGGACCTGAGAACCACAGCTCTGCCTACCTTTGTTTGGGGTTGTGAACCTGCAATGGGAAGGACTCTCACAGACAGAACTTAGAGTTTCTTCCTATAGTATAAATGTCTGGACTTCCATCTGAAGGGCTCTATTCCCTACCAAAACATGGTACATAACCCATGCTCAGTGAAAACTGAGCTAGGCACCAGAGCAAGATGCCCTCAACTTTGCCAGCTACAGCCCTTTTTATATTTTTCTTAAGCTGGAGACAAACTGAAAGGAGCGTCAGTCTGAGGCGGGGATCCTCATAGACTGAGTTTGATGGAGAAGCAGTGGGATCAGGAGGAGCTAGAGAGCTCTTAAGGAGGGGACTTACTGTGTCTGTCTTCCCTGCAGCCTGTGACCACTGTCTTCGGGCACTGGAGAAGGCAGAGGAGAATGCCCAGAGGCTGACTGGAAAACCAGGCCAGGTTCTACCACACCCAGAGCTATGCAGTGTGCGTAAGGACCTCCACCAGAACTGTCCCCATTGTCAGGTGAGTACCTCTGGGGAATGCACAGGAAAGGGAGCAGGCCAAGGAGGCTTTAGTTAAGACAAAGTCTGAACAGACCTGGTCCATTCCTCAAGGCTCACAGTGTAGTGTGTGACAGTGAAGGGGCCCAGTAATTGTTCAGCTTCTTCTTTGCTGCCAGTGTCCATTGTCCAGAAAATGGGTTTGGTGGGTGTCTTAGTTAGGGCTTCCATTGCTATGCAGAGACACCATGACCACAGCAACTTTTATAAAGGAAAACATTTAATTGGGGCTGGCTTACAGTTTGAGAGATTTTAGTCCATTTTCAACACGATGGGAAGCATGACATTGTGTAAGCAGACATGGTGCTGGAGGAGCTGAGTGTAGTAGTAGGCCATTATGTTTCAGGTGGTTTTTCCTCCTGTCCCTTAGCTCCTGGAATAATGACTCATGAGATTCATTAAATATTATACAAACTCCTAGGCCATACAGCCAACCTCTTCTCTGTATAGCTCATAACTTAAATTAACCCATTATAGTAATCTAAATTCTGCCATGTGGCTAGTTACCTGAGCTCAGGCACCATGCATCCATCCTCTTCACATCTTGTCCACTAAATCTTGAGTGCCTGTCTCTATTTCAGAATCCTTTCTGCTTGCTGGATGTTTCACTCCTTTCCTCCCTCAGCCATAGGCCATAGGTTTTTTGTTATTGTTGGTGGTGGGTTTTTATTTTGTTTTGTTTTTGGCTTTTTCAAGATAGGGTTTCTCTGTGTAGTCTTGGCTGTCCTGGACTCTATTTGTAGACCAGGCTGGCCTTGAACTCACAGAGATCTGCCTGGCTCTGCCTCCCCAGGTGCTGGGGTTACTGGCATGAGCCATTGACCCCAGATGCCATAGGTTTTTATTTTTAATTGACAAGTATTGCATCCCCTATAACACCCTGTTTTATCCTCACTGAGCTCTTGCTCTGGGGCTGTTATGGAAGGAAAGCAGTTAGATGAAGTGTACCTCAGGTCCTGAGGGCTAACCTGCACCCCACCTAACAGGTGATGTACTGCAGTGCAGAATGTCGGCTGGCAGCTGCGGAGCAATACCACCAGGTCCTGTGCCCAGGCCCATCCCAGGATGACCCCAGGCACCCCCTCAATAAACTGCAGGAGGCGTGGAGGTAGGTCTCTTCCTCTCCTTACCCTTCCATCTATTCCTGTCTCAGCTCAGCAGCTGTGAGGAGCTTTCAGTGAGTTATATCCCTGGGTCTCTATTGTTAAGCTTACACAGAAGTCCCAGTTTTCAGCAGCCTGCCTTTCATCTGAGCAGCCAGCCAGCCCTACCATCTTCAGCCTTTATGCCTACCAGAGAGAGCCCACCAAACCCTAAGGGATACAATGTTTCCTAAGTCCAGCCTTTGATAACTGGTGGACTGGGCAGGAAGTGTCTCTGTAGCCTTGAGACTGGGTTTTCCAGGCTCTGCTCCTGGAAAGGCAATTTCTAGTTTATACTTTTTTCCCCCTCTCTCTCTAGGAGTGTTCACTATCCTCCTGAGACTGCAAGTATAATGCTGATGGCCCGGATGGTGGCCACAGTGAAACAGGTGAGCCAGAAAAGCTGACCCCCCAGTCATCCCTGGGTCTCAGCCACCTGACCTTGCTTGGATGCTCTTGCTTCTGGGTTTCCTGAAGGTTAGCTGCTTGCTATGTAGACTCTCTAGAACATGCTAACCAGAAATCAGGTGTAGGCCATGGGCCCTGGTTTTGCTTGTCTTCATTTCTCTGTGAGATGTTTGTCTTATATAGCAGTGGTTCCTGAATTTGACTGATAGGCATCACTGTCCCAGGATAGTCTCTTAAATAAGTGAGAGGCCATGCAGATCCCTTCTGTCCCTACTGTTCTACCTCAATGGCCACCTGTTTTCAAGGTGTTTTGAGTTGGCAAGCTCCACCCTACCTGGGAAATGGCTGAGTATGGCAGAGTGGGAAGGGAGACCTTGGCAGCTCTTGGGTGTGGTCATTCCCTGACAGAAAAGACTTGAGAAGCGTCAGCCCTCTGTTCCTCATGGGCACATGGTTCTTATGTGTGTTTGCCCTACAGGCCAAGGACAAGGACCACTGGGTCAGGCTCTTCTCCCAGTTCTGCAGCAAAACAGCCAATGAGGAGGAGGAAATTGTCCACAAACTCCTGGGGGACAAATTCAAGGTTGGTTTTCTCTCATGGCCTCTTCCCCTCACCCCTCAAGTAGCCTGGGGTGTCTGTGGCTACCTGACTCCACATTTGGTCTCTTCTAAGCTACAGCGGGGTTAAAACCTGGTCCTAAAAGGAATTTGTGTTCCTGGCACCATTTACCTTTGTGACCTAATATAGAATTAAAGTTGGAAGTAGGAACAAGGGATTGCATTTTCTACCCAAGCATGCTCATTACTCCATGTAATGTACAAGACAGCAAGACTCTGAGGAAGGCAGACATAGGCATGTCTGGTTTTCTGGAGAGTGGAGGGCTGGGGGTCCACAGGTCAGGGAGTGGTGTGGAATTCATGTGGTAAGAATAAGACACTAAGCACCTGAGCCTTCTCTTGGAGCTCCCAAAGTGGGGAGGCTGCCAGAGGGTAGAGACAGTCAGAGGGAGGCAGATAGAAGGTGGGAATGCAGCTGTGGCAAAGATGTATCTCTGGGAGAGAGTTGCTATACTGGATCTAGAAGAATGAAGGGGAAAGCCAAGCTGACCAGAAGGCCAAGCAAGTCTCAGTGTCTCTCCAAGGGAGGGATTCGATGTGTAATCTAAGCCATGCTGCCTTAGCCTTACTGGAACAAGTACTGGAAACAGGAAGAAACTTTGAGCTCACACCCTCACTTGGAGTCTGCAGACAATTGGAGATAAGTACTGCCTCTGTCCCTAGGGAAAGCTCAGGCCACATAACTGGCTCCTTTTCCCTCTTTTACCTGATTTTTTTTCCCACCTGCCTAGTGTTAAGGGGAAGTCTCCAGGGCTGCAAGTGTACCTCTGTTTCCCCCAAACCAGGGCCAGCTGGAACTTCTGCGTAGGCTCTTCACAGAGGCCCTTTATGAGGAGACTCTCAGCCAGGTGAGTGTGGGAAGGCAGGCCCTGAAGCCTTTTTCCTGGTGCTCAGGCCTGGAACTGAAGCAAGGCCAGCTCTCAGAAGCCTCCCGCGTCAGATTAGGAAGAGCAGCTCCAGACTCGCCTTTCTCTCCCTACAGTGGTTTACACCAGATGGATTCCGATCTCTCTTTGCCCTTGTTGGGACCAATGGTCAAGGGATTGGAACCAGGTTAGCAGAGAATGTTCTAGACCTATTAGGTAACCCCTCGGGTTCAGATGGGAGTTATTAGAGGAAGGAATTGATGGAGGAAGCCACAGATTCTTTCAGGATGGGTTGGATTGGGTGTTGCCGTGACCCGGATGAGGACTGAGGCAGGGGAGTCTACTGCTGGGAGTCTTGCTCTTTTGGGAGGGATGGGGTCCTTACTCTAGAAAAAGAACAGGGTCAGGTGGGAGACTCTTCTCTCTGGGCGTAACATGACTGGATATGGAGAGCCTGGTGACCTGGGCCACTTCCAACCATGTGCTGCTGGGACCCACAGCTCCCTCAGCCAGTGGGTACATGCCTGTGATGCACTGGAGCTGTCGCCTCAGGACCGGGAACAGCTAGACACCTTCATTGACCAGTTGTACAAGGACATTGAGGCAGGTTGGTGAGATGGGGCTGTGGATTCCCCAACCCTTGGAGCATCCCTAGTGGACACAGTTCTTGCCAGGGAGCTCTGAGCTTATGGTAGAAAGGGAAGTCTCAGATCTATCCACAGGTGAGAAGTCATCTGAAACCCATCCACAGGCGCCATGCTGGGAGGAGGGAGAGTCACAGATAAATAGGTAGAGCAGACTGAAGAGCAGGGTTTCTCCAAAAAGCAAGTTTAGGCAAAATGGTAGCTCCTGGGTGTCTAATTTGTAGGGGTGGCAGGACAGCAGAGCTGTTGTTTGTTCGTGTGGTTTAATTTCCTTTACCCACTGGTATCTGCACATTACTTTCTTACAGCCACCGGCGAGTTCCTTAACTGTGAAGGATCTGGTCTCTTCATGCTTCAAAGCTGCTGTGAGTCTCAGCACTAGGGAGGAATGGGCCTACATGCTTCTGCCCTTCTAGATCATCTTTCCCAGTTCACCCTTTCTGGGCTGACCAGGGCAAGTCTAGAAGTAGGGTTACGTCTCTTTCTTTGGAGATTGTTTTGGACATTATTGCTCTCTCAGTTTCATTCATTCATTCATTTCCTTGTTTATGGTGTTAACTGGTGCCAAACCCAAGGCCTCATGCCCAGCCTCCTGCTAGTATTTTAATAGATATTTACAGTGGACCAGGTCCACCTAAAGGGGAGGCACAGAGCCCTGCTTCTTGCAACGGGAAGCAGAGGCCTTGTACCACCACTGCCCTGTGGGATATGGTCAGGAAGCATTGGGAGAGCCTGAGGTCTGCAGGATCTTGGAAGGGAGTTGCAGGTTGGAAGTCTTCTTAGCACCTTCTGGAAAGGCCAACGCCACCTCCCACCAAGACTTTCCAGGTCTTAGCCTCCCATCTCCCGCTTTCCTCACTACTACCTACCTCTCCCAGGCTTGGGTCAGGAGTCCCATGTTAGCAGACAGAAATAAATGGTCTTCCTTCCTTCCTTCCTTCCCTCCTTCCTTCCTTCCTTCTCTCTTTCTTTCTCTCTCTCTTTCCTTCCTTCCTTCCTTTCTCCTTCCTTCCTTCCTTCCTTCCTTCCTTCCTTCCTTCCTTCCTTCCTTCCTTCCTTCCTTCCTTCCTTCCTTCCTTCCTTTCCCTTTCCCTTTCCCTTTCCCTTTCCTTTCGTCTCTTGAGTCCTGACTAGACTGGAACTCATTGTGTAGTTTAGTTGGGACTCAAACTCATACCAAATCCTAAATCTTCCTAGATTACATTTGTGAGCCACTGTGCTTGGTTTGAGAATACTAGTTTGGTTTCAGTTATTTGTTGCATTTATTTGAGGATAAGGTCTCACCACATCTCACTGTGTAGCCCTGGCTGGCCTGGAACTTGCTATGTAGATCCGCTTGCACTGCCTCCTGAATAGATGATTAAAGGCGAGTGCCACCATGCATGGCTTTGTTTGTTCTTAAAGTTTATTTACACACACACACACACACACACACACACACACACACACACAGGCTATGGTATGCATGTGGAGGTCAGAGTCAGTTCTCTCTGCTAAGTGGGTTCTAGGGCTCACACTCAGGTTGTCAGGCTTGAAGCAAGCACCTTTACTTACGGTGTCATCTACCTGCCCCTAGAATTACCATTTTTATTTTTGTTTTTTTGAGACAGGGTTTCTCTATGTAGCCTTGGCTGTCCTAGAGCTCACTCTATAAACTAGGCTGGCCTTGAACTCACATTTGCTTGCCTCTGCTTCTGCCTCCCAAGTGCTAGGATTAAAGGCATGCACCACCATTGCCTGGCTAAATTACCATTTTTAAAAATTGGGTCTCATTGCTGGGCATAATGGTACACTTGTCAGTGAGAGGCAGCAGTGTCACAAAGTTTAAGGGTAGGTTGAGGTACATACATAGCAAGACCCTGATTCAACAGTAGTGGTTGAGGGTGTAGACCAGTTATGGAGTGCTTGCTTAGCATGTGCAAGGTCTTGGGTTACACACATACATACTCTACTTGTTATCTGTCTTTTTGACCCAGGCAACCACAGTTGTGTCCCCAATGCAGAGACCTCCTTCCCAGAAAACAACTTCCTTTTACATGTTACCGCCCTGGAGGATATTAAGCCAGGCGAGGTGAGAGGGCTGAGCAGCAGGGGTGGGCATAGGGCCTTGCAGCTTCTCTTCAGGAAGCAGTGGTAACTAGTTTGAGCCCTTTTGTTGGGCTGGTGCCAAGCCACCACAGTCCCCAAGGTGAGTCTTTTTGCCCATGAGTATGCTCTAATTCCTTCCAGTTCTTCAAACATCTTCAGAAAGTCTTAGATTGAGGTAGTACTGTGTGCCCCGTCCCTGACCCCAGCTACCCTTTTAATTTCTTTGTGGCTTGCACCACAGGGGCTAGCTAGTGTGGATTGAGAGTTCTGGTTGGTGACCACATCCTGATAACATTTTCTCCTCACAAGTTATCATACCAGGTTTAACCTTTGATCCTATTTACAGACCTTGGCTACTGTCTAGTTTTTCCCCAGGGCTTGAGGCCAACCTCCATCCCTTGTCTGTCTTAGACCCAGGTGGGGGTCTTGCCAGCTGGAGTTATAGGAATGGGTCAGTGCTGAAGGGTGTTGCAGGCCTAGCTCCCGGGCAAGAACAGTGGTTAGCCATAGATAGGGCAGCTGTTGGAGAGGCTCTTTTTCTTCCTGATGGAGGCCATAGGCAATCAGACCATCTTCTACCCCACAGGAAATCTGTATCAGCTACTTAGACTGCTGTCAGCGGGAGCGCAGCCGCCACAGCCGCCACAAGATCCTCAGGTGCCAACTGGGGACATGGTTGGGTTCTGGGATCTTCCGTCCCAGCACCTGACTGATTTCTCGCCCTTTTACTTCAAAGGGAGAACTACCTGTTCATCTGTTCCTGTCCCAAATGCCTGGCAGAGGCTGACGACCCCAATGTGACCTCAGAAGAGGAAGAAGAGGAAGATGAGGAAGGAGAGCCTGAAGATGCAGAGCTAGGGGATGAGATGACTGATGTGTGATGTTACCCTGCCTGGAGGGGCCCTGCCCAGACCCTGCTGGAAAAGGGGGCCTATCCTCCACAAATGTGGTTGGAAGGTACATCCCCTCCCCCTTGCACCCATTGCCTGCTCTCTCCCTTCTAGCAGTCTGCTGGAGGGTAGGATAGAGGCTGGACCCAAGCCCCATCCCACACCAGAACTCATGCCCTGAGCACTGCTGCTGAGCTGCATTGGCTCTGTGCCATCACCACGCCTTCCAGAACTGGCCTTCTTCCCCTGCCATGCTCCAATGTATCTGTGAGATTGGAACCAGCCTCCAGGCCTTATAGTGTTCTTCCTCTGGTCCACACTCATCCATCCACCAGAGGCTTGGCTCCTATTGACTGGCCGTTAATTTGTGCGAGGCAACAAAATGGTCAGTCTGAGAGCAGACTGATTTCCTTGACAAGAAGAGGTAATGTGCAGTGCCTTACCTCTCCCTACTGCTTACCTACTACAGCTGCAGCTGACGTAATGGCCTGCCACTTGCCAGCAAGAGGCAGGGACACTTCAAAAGACTCTCTGCTCGGGGTGCTGATCTGTTTGCATTGGACGATGGGGAGGTGGAGAATAACCTAGTCTCCAAACACCAGAATTGCTGTGCCTGTGTCTTGCCTCTTACGCTCAAGCAGGGGGCCAGCTCCATAAGGTGTGAAGAAGTCTGTTTTCATCAGGATGGAGACTACCTCCCTTTCTCAGGCTAGCAGTATGGCAGATGACAAGCTGTGCTCCATAATTTAGAATGCTCAGTCTTCCCTGGGACCAGCTGCAGTGGCCCGGCAAAGGGTCTCTGGATCTCGGACATCCTCCGTTAGGATCTCCATAGAGGAACACCAGTCTTCCAGAAATCTGAAGGAGCTGGGCAGGACACTTGGAGATGAGCTGTGACTTTGGCCACAGATGACCATCTCACTCTTGGGTTGGGCACTGTGGGAATTACATTTACCACTCCCCTTTCCTTTCCTGAGATGCCTGTACATGGCCCTGCTCGAAGCTCCCAGGGAGGACCAGTGCCCATGCTACAGGCTCTTTCCAAGGTGGAGCTAGTGGAACGTGCCTGAATGGCCCCCTTACCTGTTGGGTACACTCTTTCACAACAGCCAGCACCCCCTCCCTCTGGTCTGCCCACTGGTCTCAATAAAGTGTGAGTGGTGATAGGCCTCGGCAACAGTGATTTCTGGGGAGTATGGGCTAGGTGGACCACTCAGGGCCTGCAGTGGTCAAAGAGGTGCATGCAGAGGATGCAAGTTAGACTAGTGGGTGGCAGCAGAATGCTCCAGGTCATCAGCAGTGTTCACATGTCAGCTGCACTGGTGTGGAAAAATCACTAAAGCCAGAAAAAGGGTTTTAGAGGTTTGGTTTCAATTGCTGACTTTAGGTTACAAGAGTTGTCTTCTCAGAAGGTCAAACTGCAAATAGCAGTCTGAAGTACTTATCCTAATGGGCCTCGGGAAGCCATGGTCTTCTTTTTGAGCAGCAGAATGATGTGGGACCAAATAAAAGAGTTCCCCCTTACCCATGCGTTCCTAGTTTAGGACATAGCTACAAACCTGATGAGCTTTATTTGGTTTTATTGCTAAAAGTAGGGGAGTTCTGAGTCCCCAAATACCAGTTCTTTAAACCACTACACCAACAGCCACAGGCTTATTATGAGGAGGTCCTGGCTGCGGGAGGCTGAAACAGGTGGGCGTGACAAGGCTGCTTGCCTTCAGTGCCTTTTGTTCCAAATTCTAGTCACAAGCCCTGGGCCTGGTTCTTGACTCTTCCTGAAGCATGAGATGTCCTTGCAGGCCCCAGGGAAGAAAAAGCCAGTGGTGTGGCTTCACTGTCCTCTCTGGCTCCATTTGTTCTCAGAGTCTATCTCCAAACTCCAAATAGGAAAATCCACAATTCACTTGTCAATGGAACCTAGGGTCGGCTTTTCTACCAGAAAGTCCATGGAGGTTGCAGCAGCTCAAAGGTGGGGATACTGGTGACATTGACTGGGATAGAGATGATGGCCCATGGCAGCCCATGCTGTTCCAGAGAACGTCGGATCATGTAGCTAGGTGGGCATGAAGAGCAGTGATGATGGTTACTTTCTCAGCACCCCAACACTGCTCTCTACCCCAGTTAGTCTGGGAGTTCCAGAACCTGAGAACTTTTTTGCCCTCTGACTGGGATATTCAAAACAGGGCCTGTGAGAGGGGACTGGTGATTGCTTTTGACCCCACTAAGTCATGCTACCCAGTTTGGTGTGGATAGCCAGAAGCAAAGAGCCCTCACCCGTCTCGGCCGAGCAGGAAGAGAGCAGGAATGTCAGCTGTGCGTTTAGTACTATCCTGGATCATCTCCACGTAGAAACTGTCATTGTCAACTGCATTGTCAGAGATGATCACAGCCTTCCCACCATGCTCCTGTACCACCCTGGTCTTGGAGAGGAAGGAGCAGCCCCTGGAAGAGGTGGTGATGAGACCAAAAGAAAGGCAGGCACTAGCTGCCCCTCCCTCACATCCTCTCCTTGGGAGGATGAAAGGACCATAGAGAACTTGAGGTTCATCAGTACACAGCTGAAAGTAGACAATCAACACATTACTTAAAAATCAGCATTTCAAAGTGCCATGAGCTGTGATCAGAATCTGCCCTTCCCATGGGTCATGCCTGCCTCCTCCTTACCCCCTTTCTACCAGAGCGATTTGGTCCTGGATGAAGAAGCCGTTGCTGAGTTCCCCGCAGGCCTCTGGAGGTTCAGCAGGGACAAGGTGAATCTGGTCATACCGTGTGTGCTGAAAAACGTTTAGATATTTGAACAAGTGAGAGAGAGTTTAAGAAAGCACTCTTTTGGAGAGGGCTAACAATTCCATCTTATTGGTGCCTCAAGACGAGTGAGGAGAGGAAACGGGTTTCTCTGAGGCTGAGCACTTGAGCACTTAAATCTAATTTTCACAAAGTCCCCTGCCTTTCTGTGAGGGGGAGCTGCTTAAAATCTAGGGACGAGAAGAGCTGACAGAGAAGGCTGCTGCTCTTGGTTTTTGCACCAATAAAGGCAGTCCCTCCCTGGTTCATAGTGTGCAGCAGCTCCTGGAGGGTACAGATGGATTCTACTTCTTGCCCTGTCTAGCATAAAAGTGGGATGAGGGTCACCATAGCTTAGTGAGGGCAAGATGACTGGGGGTCAGATCTAGGCATCTTTGAACTTACAAATATCCCACCAAAGTCCTTGGCAGGTGTGGCTGTGAAGATGTAGCGGATATCCCCAGGACTCAGCACTTGGAAGTATAAATAGTCATGGATGCGTAAGCCTAAAGGAAAGAGTAGAGATGAAAAGCCTCTCAGGAGCCTCAGGTTGCTTTGGGTTTAGATTATGGGGTTCTCTCTGAATTCAAATGGGTGGGCTATGGTTTGGGTCCAGAGACCTATTAGCTGAGTGGATCCTCAGCGTGAAATTTATTTAAAAAAATTTTTTTTAATAACTTTTTTTTTTTAATGGTTTCACTATGTAGCCATGGCTGGCCTCAAATTCACAGAGCTCCACTTGCCTCTGATAGCCCCGCTCAGACCCCCAGTACTGGAATTAAAGGTGTGTGCCACTATACCCGGAATTCTTAAATAACAACATCAACAACAATAATAATAAAATGGCCTCACACTGCCCAGGCTGGCTTTGAGCTAGTTTTGTTTCCTTGAATTCTTCCAAACATCACGGTGACAGGCCTGCATCACCATGCCCAGCTGGAGGGAGCAGACTGGTTGCAGGAGAGAGTATCTGCTGCTGCTGCTCTTGCTCCTGCTTCCGGCGAGCCATAAAGACCCAGAGCTCTTGGGCTAACCCTTCCTGAAGAAGAGCTGAGAATTTCAGAGTGGACAGGGAAGCCCCGAAGGTTCTAACCAAAATGCACAAGTTAGCTCTGGTCTCACGAACATGTCCTTGACCAGTCATTGTCCTTTTTTTTTGTCCTGACTTGTTCATCTTAACTGGTCTTGTTTCCATGTCTTCTTTTTCAGATAGGGTCTCATTGCCCAGGCTAGTTTTAAACACTTTGGGCTCAAGCAATCCTCCTGCCTCAGCTTACCATCTGCTTCTTTTTTTTTTTTATTTATTTAAATTTTATTTTATGTATATGTGGGCCTTGGCTGTACCTATGTCCACGCACCGTATGTGTGCCTGGTGCCTGTAGAGTCTAGAAGAGGGTATTGGCCCCCAGAACTGGGGGAGCAGACAGTTGTGAGCTGGGCCCTCTGAAGAACCAGTTCTCCTGTCTCTCCAGCTCTCTGCCTCCATTCTCGCTCCTTTAAGTCCACCTGCCACCCACCCACTGCCTCAGCGTCCCCTTCACTGACTAAAGCGCATACTGCTGTTAACTGTGGTTTAGAAAGCCCTGCCTGATTTGATTTCTACTCTGACTCTTGTCTCTTCTTTCCCATGTTCAAGCTGTACTGGCTTGTCAGTGTCTTCATTTTTTAGGGGGTCTTCCTAAAAGTTTACCTGTCATTTCTCAGAAAGATACTACCTTGTCCCTTTAATATACTTTCTTCCAGCTAATACTTCCTCTCTAACTAGGTGTATTCATATTATCATGTGTCTGATTCTTTCACGAGGGCATTGATTCTAAGTATGTGGCAGCGATGAATCCTAATGTCTAGGACACAGTGGTTGCTCAGTAAAGGTTACTGAATGAATAGACAACTCAGTCCAGCTCTGCTGTCTTGAACAAGAGAACTGCCAGAACAACCAGAGCTTTGCTAGGATATAGAACCTTTCCCCAGCACTTAAGTTTAATGTTTTCCTGGGATCTGAGTCCCTGGATTCAGTAACCCCAGAGTGGTGAATGCTGATGGATGGAAGCTCAGGTCAGTTCATCCAACTGTTAAGCTATCACTACTTGTGCTGTAGCCAGGACTGTCTTTGGCTGTTCCTGTCCATTGTCCAAATCACAGCCACCCAGACAGAGCTCAGGGGGCTTGCAGCTTTCTGTGTGTAGGTACACCCCATCAGATGGATACACTCCCAGGAAGTCTTCTAGATTAACATGAAGCAACCCTTTCCATAAGCACACTCCTGTCTGGTGTCTGATGTGCTTATCTAACAAACTTTGGGTGTATGCATGTGTTCACTTGGCGCGTAGGTGTGTACATTTATGTTCGAGTTGTGTAAGTGGGTGCCTGTGCATGTGATTCCACGTGTGTGTTCCTGTCTGTATGAACGCTCTCATGTTTCTCAGTTCTGGATTTCTAGCTGTCACCATACTTGCCCTCAGTGGTTGGAAGTCTAAGGTGTATTGCTGTGACTGGGTCGCGCCTACTCAGGGCCCGGGGACCACCGCCCACTCAGTGCAGCCGCCTGGTCCCAGCACCTGGCTAGCCTAAACTCGTGGGGTCCCCAAGGTGACCTGTCGTCCCCCACCTCACGGCCCAAACAGCGCGCACACTAAGTGCCCGCCCCGCCCCACCTGCCGCCGCTCACCGTGGGCTGCGACGCACGTGGGCAGCCAGAACACGAGACAGCACCAGCCCGTGGCACCACGGCTCATCTCCAGGGCCCGTCCGCGGCCGCCGTCCCGCAGCTCTCGCTCGCCGGACTTTAGCCTGACAGCTGCCACCGCCTCACCCCCAACCCAGGCCCGCTCTCCGCGCCAGTTGGAGCGCGGAACCGAGGCCGGCGGCTGATTGGCTGCCACGCCTGTTCTTGTGGCCGCATTTCCCGCCTCTGCGCCCTAGGCCACTTCCTATTGGCCACGAGAAGTGGACTCGGGAGCTGATTTGCCAAAACTCTTAATAGCAACTGCAGTTCACAGCCCCGCCCCCTCGTTCCTCATTATAGACGCGAAATCCCCGATCCAGGGGTGGGCGGCTCGCGGGGATGCGGGGTGCACGGTCTCCTCCCAGCCTGAGGCTGGCCTCACCCTCCGAGGGCGGTGCCTCGGCCGACAGGAGGCGCTGCAGAGCCAGAAGCCGCCCCGAGCAAGTTTCCCGCGCCCGAGGGCTTGGCATACCTGTGACCCGAGACACCTGTGAAACCAGAGCTCCCGCGCCACGGAGCAGTCAGTGGGTGCAGTCAGATCACTCACCGCAGCTGCCTCTCACAACCGGCATTCAGCGTTGACCTTTCACAGCATGTCTGCCGTGGTGTCCGGGGTAGGGCCGCAGCGGGACCCTCCTGCATCCTCACCGAGCAATTCGCATCGAAACTCGATGACCCCGCCATTGCTAACGCGAGTTCCTAGAACGTCCCTGGAACTTCCGACTCCTCTAGCCCGCCACCTCGGTTGTAGCTAACCATAGAGTGGCGGAAGTGGTCCGTCCCCTTCCTCTCCCGGGCTAACGTCTCGGTAGAAGCTTCTAAGGACTTCTCCGGCGCGGAGCATTCTGGGCTTGGGTGGGCGGCCCCGAGGCGGAGAACAGACGAGTTGCGGGTCCCTGAAACCGCTTCCAAGATGATGGTGAGTGGCTCCTCGAGCATCCGCTGCCATCCATGGCCGTGCGGCCCGGGTCCGCCTTGCGGGGCTTCTAACAGTGGCTTGCCCCGACCACGCTGCCTGTGGTTGGCCTCGGCCTAGAGCTGGAGCGGTTGGCTAGAGCAGAATGGGCCTCGCGGCGCCACTTGACCTAGGCTTCGGGGCCACGAGCCCCTTCTGCAGCCCCTTCCCCGTAGTGGGAACTTGCGTTTTCAGAGCCGAGTGCAGGTTGAGCGTTTGTGCCTGTACCAGAGGGCCGGGTTACCGCGCCGCGGAAGGTGCGGAAGTAAAAGCGTGAGCTTCTAGAGCGCGCAGAGGCAGCGTGAGGATCTTTGGGTTGGGTCGGAGTGAAGCCCAGCCTGGCCTGTACTCAGCCTGGCCGCCGCATGGGGGAAAACAACCCTTCATTCTTTCAACCTTTTCGTTCGCTCAGTCATTCAGCAGGTCATTTTTAATGTCTCCTGAATGTACAGGTCCAGCTTGTTGCTGGAAGAGGGCAGCAGTTGAGGCACACAGCAACAGAGATGGGAAGACCTGAGTGTCTTAGGCAGTAGTTGTCCTCCTTCATCACCGCTTTATCCCTAACAGAGCATCAGGTATCTCCTTGTTTCCTGTGAGAAACCTAAGTTGTTAGTGAGCAATGTCAACTTCCAAGACAGTCTATGCACCTGGCATTACTTCACTCATTAATTTTCACTGTCAGTCCTTTGTCTACCTTTTGCATAAATTCAGGCTGACTCCATAAATTCCAGGCTGACTGATAACCCGTAAGGTGCTTCCCTGGCTACCAAATGCATTGCCGTTACAGCTCCTACTCAAAAGGAACCCCTACAGAAGCATGTACTCACTGACCTCTAGCACTGCCCTTTTGAATGTCACTTAACCTTGGAATGGACTTGATTGACAAGGACCAGAGCTGAGGAATAAACCAGAGACTCTTATATGCAGCAATAGAATATTCTTCATTGCTGCATATGTGACCAGTGGCCTAGCCAAGGGTCCTGGCATCCATGCACAGCCACTCCTCAAACAAGTACCTTTTATGAAAGGACCCCAAACCACATTTGAGTTTTACCTGAATTGATGATTCTTGCCCTGTCCAGTTTGCTTGTTTTCCTGCTGTTTATCTCCAGTCTTAAAACGTGAAACGTAGACATGAGGTCACCATGCTGTCAACAGACTGGTATCAGGTAGTCTAGAAGCCTTCTGTAATGGAAAGAGCTAATAGGGTCCCCTGAAATCGTGATTCTCTGGTTTTGGTACATCTACAGGAGAAAATATCCTTGCCTTTTTGCCATTAAGTTGTATGTGTTCATATATATATATATATATATATATATATATATGTGTGTGTGTGTGTGCTGGTCTTGTTTTATAGAACGTCAAGTCTAGTGGTAATGGTGGTGGCGTTTTTATTTTTTCAGGTACTGGTTATTGGACGCAAGGTCTCATTTGATTGTTCTACCAGTTAGCTATAGCCTGAGCCTCTTGAAGAGCAGGCTCTTTGTAGCTCAAGGCTTGTTTGGTTGTCCACCATGGTGATTACTTTCATCAGCGTGACACAACCTAGAAAGCATATATGTTCCTCCGTTGTCTTTCTCTATTTTTCTGCTAGTATTCTCCAAGACCCTACAGGTTAAGCTTTTTTTCGATTCTCCTATCTCTTCCTCTTATAACCCGTGGACTGATGCAGCTCTATAAAGTATTCAATTTTTAAAAGATTTCTGCTGTGTGTGCATTCGTGGGGACATCTGTGGAGACCAAAAGAGGACTTGGATTTGCTCTTGGAGTTACAGATGGTATTGGGAACCAAATTCTGTCCTTGGGGGAGAACAGGAAGCCCCTAAACTGCTGAGTCATTTCTCCAGCCTCAAATCTATTTTTATATTTCACTTTTGATACCTTTTCTTAGACCAATGCAACTTCATTTACTGATACTTTTACTATTTCTTCCATTTGAAAGTCTGTTTGCCTACAACTGGTTGTTTTTCTTGTCTTATTCCTGTCTTGTATATTCTGTGACTTCTGCATACAATTTGAGGCCAGCACCCTGATAGCAGTCTTCATATTCACTAAAGGACAATGGCTCTCTAACGAAGTTAGGATGTAGTGTGTGGTACTGAGTGTGTTTTCATCTCTCTCATTGAACTGCTAATGTCTTGCTTAGAACAATTTTCTTTTTAAATTTTATTTCATATGTGTAGATATTTTGTTCACGTGCAGGTCTGAGCATCGTTGTGTGCTTAGTGCCTATGGAGTCTATGTTTGTGAACTGTCATGTGGGTGCTGGGAATCAAATCCCAGTCTTCTGGAAGAGCAACCAGTGCTTTTAATTGCTACACACCAGCTCCCCAGCTCCAGGCACTTTATTTTTTTGCAGACAATTGCTTATTAAAGCCCTTGTTCTTGTCAATTATGTTGGGCTGAAGTCACGGTCATAATTTGAGCTTTGGTAAATGTATACCATTTATAAGCCTAGATCCAACTGCAGGCCTTTGGTTTTGCACATTTTTTTCAAGCTTTAGGGTATGTGTAAATCCACTTGGACTCTTTCTGAAGTTTAGTTTCTGCTTCAGTGGGTATGGGATGCAGCAGGTATGATGCTTAGAGAGGATTTTGACAAATAAGTTTGGTTCAAAATGTTTCTGAAATAACCTAACAAAAAATTGAATAGTATTATATGTTTCCTTTAAAACTAAATATATAGATATATATCTCTATATATTTTAATTTATTTTGGGTTTTCCAAGACAGGGTTTCTCTGTAGCCTTCGCTGTCCTGGAACTTGCTCCGTAGAACAGGTTGGCCTTGAACTCATAAAGGTGGACCTGCTGCCTCCCGAGTGCTGGGATTAAAGGCATGTGCTACCACTTCCCAGCAAAATTATGCATTTAAGATGAAAGGTCATTTATTTGGCCAAAAGGAAAAATGTTCAATTCTGTTGATCTAGCCTAGCCTTTTAAAAACAAAAAAGAGGGGCAGGAGAGACAGATCAGATAAGAGCACAAGCTGCTCTTCCAGAGGACCCTGCGACAACATGGCAGCTCACAATTGTCTGTAATTCCTGTTCTAGATCTGACACCCTCATGCAGACATACCTGCAGGCAAAACACCAAAGTACATTAAGAAGTTAAAGTAAAGTAAAATAAAAATAATGAATAAATTATTTAAAAAAAGAAAGCTGGGAACAGAGACTTTTACCAAGGTCATTTCCAGATCTAACATTCACTGGAGTTGAGAGCAGGGAGGAGACAGCACAGTCCCACTACAGTGAGACTCCTCTGAAGGACGGAGCCACAGAAGGGTTCAACAACAGGAGAAAGGAAAATGAGCCAGAGAGAGGAAAGGAAAGGAGCTCTGTACTTAGCAAGGTACATTAAGATCCATGGTTCCAAACAGGAAATGGGGTGCCATGAAAAGTGAATTTTCAGCACAGCAGAAGCCCCAAGTTTCTGCCCTTACCATTCCCACTTCAAAAGCCTTAGCACTGTCCAGCACTTGGTGCCCATTGTGCTCACCCAAGGCACATCAGGCAAGGAATCTGCATGATTGCAGGAACTTAGGCAGCTCTCTCTGAAGCCCCTAACTGAGCACTCTTTGACAGTAGTCTTTCAGGCTGCGTTATGCAGCAAATTACTGACATCAGGCGAGGTGGAGTGAGCTGACTGGCCATCGGTGTGTTGGGGATTAGCAGCAGGAGTCTGTTCTTTGTAATTCTAAGCCAAGGCTGCTACCACTGCTTCATGACAGTGATTGTAGTGGGCTTGGAACACTCAGTCTGAGTATTTTTTTTATACAGTGACTTCCCATTGCTCAAGTTAAAAAAAAAAAGTGTGCACTCCTCAGTATCGCTTGCTCAAGTCTGCCATGCTGCCCAAACATCTGTTGGATATTTTTCAGACCAGTTCCCCTTTTTCCTTTTGCTTTAGTTTCCAATCCTAAGTGAGCCAGTTGGTGGAGATGAAATAAAGGTTATCTAGGCCCTCTGAGGTGCCTGCTGCATTCTCTGTTGGCCGCCTGTGTACAAAGCATTGATTTGTGTGTGTGTTTGTGTGATGGCCTTTACACTTGGCCTGACTCTTATCTGTGTGGGTGGGATTTATATTGCCTACTTGCAGTTCTGCTGAGGTTTTGTCCTTGTAAGCTTAGAGTGCTGTAATATGCAGTTAGCACCCACAGTTGTCCTGGCTAGTTTTACATCAAATTGACACAAACTAGAGTCGGTTGAGAGGAGAGAATCCCAAGTGAGAAAATACCTCCCTACAGCTGGTCTTTAGGCAATCCTGTGGAGCATTTTCTTTCTTTCTTTCTTTCTTTCTTTCTTTCTTTCTTTCTTTCTCTCTCTCTCTCTCTCTCTCTCTCTCTCTTTTTCCACAGGGCTTTCTCTGTGTAGCGCTGGATGTTGTGGAACTCACCCTGTAGACCAGGCTGGCCTCCAATTTAGAGATCCACCTGCCTCTCCTCCCCCTCTACCACCTTCCTCCAGTGCTAGTATTAAAGGCTTGTACCACTACACCTGCTTGTACCACTTTAATTAGTGATTGATGTGGGAGGGACCAGCCCATTGTGGGTGGTACCATCCCTTGGGCTAATGGTCCTGGGTTCTGTAAGAAAGCAGAGTGAGCAAAGCCAATAAGGATTTTTCATGGCTCTGCATCAGCTCCTGCCTCCAAGTTCCTGCCTGGTTTTGAGTTCCTATTCTGACTTCAGTGAACAGTGATGTGTAAGCCAAATAAACTCTTTCCTCCCCAGCTTAATTTTGGTCATGGTGTTTTATCACCTGATAGTAACCCTAACTAAGACAAGAATGCAGCTTTGTCTTCTGTGCATAGACCAGTACTATAGTTCTTAATGTCATTTCAGCACCTTCCCAAACTACTTAAATAGTGAGCAAGTGGATCTGCTCTGAAATTGGTTGGGTCTGATTTCCAATGACAGTAAACAGCCTTACCACATCTACACCATCACATGGAAACACTTTCGACAAAACACAAAAATGCAACTTTATACTTTAAGAGAGAAACCAAGGATAAAATGACTGAAACAGAAAACAAAATGGCATGTGTCAATAGATTCAAATTAAGAAACTGCTTTTCTTTTGTGTTGTAGTTCTCTAAGAACCTTTTGTAGTGCTGGAGTTCATGAGCTGCTTGTGTTTGTCTTGAAATGTCCTTATTTCTGCTTCAATTTCAGAAGACAGCTTTGCTGTGTATAGCAGTCTTAGCTAGTTATTTGCTCTGAGGGCTCTTTGAAATGTATTTTTCTGTGCTTTCTTGGCTTTTAGGGCTACTGCTACAAACATCCTTTGTGAGGGTTTGTTTTTAATTGTGTGTGTGTGTGTGTGTGTGTGTGTGTGTGTGTGTGCTTGTGTGTGCCCGTGCACATGTGAGTGTCCAGCCTCCCTTTATACATCTGTAGTAACTTAAGATAAATTGCAGTGTGGTTCCTGCTGACAGATTGTCCAGGACTCCTTTCTAAGTAGGAACAAGCCTGAGCTTGCCATATATGGTCTCAGATATATGATTAGCTTTTTGCCTGGCTCTTCAGCTTTATTCAAGGCATGGTATTAGTGGCCAGCAGCTTCTCTGGTTGAAGTTTCTCAGTTACTGTGGACTTAGGCTCATGAATTACTAGACTCAGGAATGTACATCCTTTCTTATTTTTAGGTGGGGACAATGTTGTACCTTGCTGGGTAGTGTCTGAAGTGATCAAGGGAACAATGGCTTTCAGCATTTTTATTGCACTGCAGAGTAAAAAGTAAATTGTGTCTACTAACAAAAGAGTTTCCGTGCTAACAGTGAATGTGCTGAGATGGTGTCCCCCGTAACTACTTCTTTTTGACATGCAGAGTTAGCCGGTGCTGAGAAGACATGGCTAACTTTACTTATTCCCGAAGGCTCAGATTTAGCTATAGGGAGCTCTGGCTTGCCAGCTACTTACTGTCTGTGCTATTTCCTGAAAGATACCTATCCTGGTTAGGTTTCTGCTGCTGTGATTAAATACCATGATTATCTTGGTTAATGTTTTATTGCTGTGAAAAGACACTATGACCAAGACAACTTATAAAAGAAAACATTTCCTTGAGTACTTGCTTTTCATTTTAGAGGGTTGGCTCACTATTATCATGGTGAGGAGTATGGGAGCTACTGGAGAAGTAGCCGAGAGTTACATCTTGGATCAGCAGGCAGAAAGAGAGAGACAGACACACACACACGCACACATATAGAAGACACTAGACCTGGTGTGGATTTTTGAATCCTCAAAGCCAGTGACACATACCTCCTAGCCCTTCTCAAACAGTCCTATTACTGGGGGACAAAACATTCAAACTTAGCCTCATGGGGGCCGTTCTTAATCAGACCACCACAGTGACCAAAGCAACTTGAAAAGCATAGAGTTTATTCTTCCAGCTTACAGTCCACCATGAAGAGGAGGCAGTGCAGGAACTGAAGCAGAGGGCATGGAGGAACACTGCAGATGGTCTTGTTTCTCATGGCTTGCTCAGCTTCTGGTTTTAAACATTGCAGGACCACCTGCCCGGAAATGGCACCATCCCTAAGTGGCCTGGGCCTTCCCACATCAATCATTAATCAAGAAAATACTCCCACAGGCCAGTTTACTGGTGGCATTTTCTCAATTGCTGTTCCTCTTCCCAGATGATCCTAGGTTGATAAAGAAGTAGCCAGTGCAGTCTCCAAGCAGGCCTTTTGAACGAGCAGCATTTCTACTGTCTCACAGTTCTGGAGTGGTAGTGCAAAGATGGCTTCTGCGAGGATAGTGACTCTTCTGGGCCAGTGCTAAAGAGAAAGACAAAATTTTTCTGAGGCATCTGACTAGGATTGAGTGACATGGGAGCATTTTTGGAGTGGGTATGAGAAGTGACAGCAGTGCTGTTGGATTCAGTATATCATTTTGTAGGGTAAGGAAAAATGCTTTTTTGTCTTGCTGGATTCCAGCTGAGGTCTCCGGTAAAGCTGCTTTCCTGCCTATCTCCAGGGCGGTGTCTTAGTTTCTATATCACTTCCCTTCTGCTTCTCTGACATAAACCAGTGGGAAATTTATTGGGTGTGGGGGTCGCAAAGCAGGGCTTGCTCTTTTTGTGCTGTGTGCTGTGACCCAGTTTTGAAGCAGAGGTCACCAGAAATTAAAATTTATTGTCTAGACTTCAGTATCAGCAATTCTTCTAGAAGTGGATGTGGTTGAAGAGTCAGTCTGGGTAGCAGGGGAATGTGCTTTGTGAGGGTGTGGCTAACTCTGCCATGGTAGAATTGAGAGCACCCTCCTCCCTGTCCTGTGAGTCTCAGGTAGCTGCTGCTGATTAAAACAGTCACTGATCTCTCTTCTCCAGCCCACACCAGTTATCCTGCTGAAAGAGGGGACTGATAGCTCTCAGGGCATCCCTCAGCTTGTGAGCAACATCAGTGCCTGCCAGGTGATCGCTGAGGCTGTCAGGACCACCCTGGGCCCCCGGGGCATGGACAAACTGATTGTGGATGGCCGAGGTAAGTTTTCATGGTTCCCCTGGCCTTGTGTGGGAGAAGAGGTACCTAGGGAGTATTTGGGTTACCATCAGAAGTCCCATTGCTTGTAGAATCTCTCAAGGGATTAATCACTCTCAAGTTGTATACAAGGCCTTGAATGCAGGACCCTGTGGGGATCTGTGGGAGAACCTGGGCCCAAGAGTCTGTTGCCTTCTAGGAAAGTGTGGCCCAGAGACATAAATAGAACAAACTGGGGGCTAGAGATAGAGATTCTTCAGTGGTTAGGAGAGCTGCTCTTCTAGGTGACCCAAGATCAGTTCCTAGCACCTATCAGTCAATTCATAACTGCCTCTGTATAGCTAATCTATGGAGATCTGACACGAGGGCTTTTTTAGGGTAGCTGCATGCATGTATCAGAAGAAAATCAAGAGACCGTGTTATTTAAAAGCTTGTGACCCAATCCTGAGAAAAACATGTATGTATGGAGTCCAGGTCCAGTAAACAGAATTAACTGCTACTATCTTTGTCTCTAAGGCAAAGCAACAATTTCTAATGATGGAGCCACAATTCTGAAACTCCTCGATGTTGTCCATCCTGCAGCAAAGACTTTAGTGGACATTGCCAGATCCCAAGACGCTGAGGTAAGAAAGTCAGTCATAGAAACTTAAGTGGAGGCTGGAGCACGTGCTTCCTTTGCTGCTGTGGTCTTCTCACCCAAGGTTTGTGGGGTTTTTTTTGTTTTTGTTTTTTTGGTTGTTGTTTTTGTTTTGTTTTATGTATGTCTAAAATGTAATTGTGTAAGTTTTTCATACTTATAAAAGTAGTTATAGGGGTCTGGAGAGATGGCTTAGAGGTTAATTGCACTGTCTGCTCTTTAGAGGTCCTGAGTTCAATTCCCAGCACCTACATGGTAGCTCATAACCATCTATTATGAGATCTAGTGCCCTCCTCTGGCCTACAGAATATATACATAATAAATAAATTTTTTTTTTAAGTAGTTACAGTTTATTTTAGGGGGTAGGGTCAGAGTCCCTCTGTAGTTCTGGCTATCCTAAAGCTGGCTATGTAGACCAGGCTGGCCTTGAACTCCCAGAGATCTGCCTGCCTCTTTCTCCTGAATGCTGGGAATAAAGGTGTGCAGTACCACACCTAGGTTTTTTTTTTTTTGTTGTTGTTATTGTTTTTAAGATTTATTTATTTTATTATATATACAATGTTCTGCCTGCATATAGACCTGAGTGCCAGAAGAGGGCACCAGATCTCGAGGTTGTGAGCCACCATGTGGTTGTCAGGAACTGAATTCAGGACCTCTGGAAGAGCAAGCAGTGCTTTTAACCTCTGAGCCATCTCTCCAGTTCCACCCACCTGGCTTTTTAAAATTAAAAACTTTTAAAGGAATATTTATATCTTGTGACTGTGAAACTGTATTTCTTACTAACTTTGTACAGTAAAGTGTGCTGGCTAGTTTTATGTCATTTGACATATACTAGGAGAAAGTCTCTCTTAAGAAAATGCCTTCATAAGATCAGACGAAAGCAGACCTATAAGGCATTTTCTTACTGATTGATGTGGGAGGCCCAGTTCATTCTGGGTGGTGCCACCTCTGGGCATTTTATAAGAAAGCAGGCTTAGCAAGCCAATAAGCAGCACTCCTTTGTTAGCTCCTGCTTCCACATCCCTGTCCTGCATGAGTTCCTGTCCTGACTTTTGCTGATGAACTGTGATGGGGAAGTGTAAGCCAATTAAACTCTTTTCTCATGTTTCTTTTGTCATGGTGTTTCATCACAGCAGTGGTAACCCTGACTAAAACAATAAAGTATCTGCTGACTCAGGTATGCAAGTTCTGTATCCCTGGGCCCTCTGGAGAATGGTGCTGTCTGGAGAGTTAACCTTGTGCCTCAAAGGCCGTCTAAGAAAGATCGATTCCCAAGATGTTTTCACCTTTGCATTTGCTGCAGAATATGTGGGTTTCTGGAAAAAGAGCTTGACATCCATTTAAACAATATGCCTAAAATGATTTTCAGAGTTTCACTCCCTGAATACCAGGAAGCATGTAATCTTGCCATCTTTTTCCAGGTTGGTGATGGCACCACCTCAGTGACTCTGCTGGCTGCAGAGTTTTTGAAGCAAGTGAAGCCGTACGTTGAAGAAGGTTTACATCCTCAGATCATCATCCGAGCTTTCCACACAGCTACCCAGTTGGTATGGCTACATCAGCTCACTTGGTCTTACCTGGGTACTTTCACATTTTTATTAGTAAGGATACTGCCTTTTTTGGGGTGTGGAGGAGCCACACAGAGTAGGGCTATGTGGGCATTTCCAGCCATCTCCCCATTCTACCCTTGAGTAGCCGTTGAGATAGATTAAGCATTGTCTTCATAGCCTTAATTGGCAGTCTACAGCCCAGTCCTGGAAGTGCCTGGTGATTTTTCAGAACACTGTACCTGTCTTGATTTCAGAGCTTCCCAGTGGCAGAGCTTTACATTTTCCTTGGCAGCTGCAGGCACTAGTTAGAGCCACTTCACTGGTCTGTGTTTAGCATGAGACTCACGCAACTTGTATTTTTGACAGGCTGTTAACAAAATCAAAGAGATTGCTGTGACTGTGAAGAAGCAAGATAAAATGTAAGTCTCTGGTGGGCTTTGTCAGGGCCTTGGTATCTTGTGACCACATAGGGTGTGGAGGCACGTTGCAGACTTTGTATAAGCAGGAGGCTGTTTGGTTCTTGACAGACCCTTGCCTGCAGACTGTTCCTAAAAGCCGGTACTGGTGTGGGTGTGGTGGGTGTGACTCTCTTCTGTCGACCCTGCTGATCTACCTTCACAATAGAGAATGTGAAAGGTGGAGAGGGTTGGGTCTTGAATTTTGAATTAGAGGAAGAATTAATGGGGAGATGTGTGTAGCTGCTAAGGTAGATTTTTATTTAAATGGTGGATTGAGTATCAAATTGTGTCAAATGTGAGTTGTCTGCCATGCTGTGTAATGGTTAATATGTATAGAGTATTATATGGAGTGTACCACTCCCATGCTGTAGTAGAATTGGGTAAGAAGCTCAATGTCAGTTCTGCTCTGTGCTGCAGAGAACAGAGGAAGATGCTGGAGAAGTGTGCGATGACAGCCCTGAGTTCCAAGCTGATCTCCCAACAGAAGGCCTTCTTTGCTGAGATGGTGGTAGACGCTGTGATGATGCTGGACGAGTTGCTGCAGCTTAAGATGATTGGCATCAAGAAGGTGCAGGGTGGAGCCCTAGAGGTGAGCCTCATGTGGCCTCCCTAGAATGCGGAAAGCTTCCTGTGGGGGCACAGTTCACACTGTAGGTGAAGGGAGAATCTGTATTCAAGCAGGAGAGCAGATGTGCCCACTCTGCTCATGCTGCCTGTAGCCTTTGGATCTGTTTGCTTATCATTCAGTTGGGAAAGTGGACCTGTGCCAGTTCAGAATCTTGTTTGTTTATGCCATTTTTAGGGTGTGTAGAAGGATTAGTTCAGATAAATTACTTGTGAGTTCTCTGAAGATGAATTCTAGATGTATTTGGCAGCTCACTCTTCAAAGGGGCACTGTCAAATTTTCCTTTCTATTAATTTCTCTTGGATAGATGATACATAGTTCAAACCATAAAGGGCTTAGAATCGTCTCACAACCGCCTCTGCCCCTTACGCAGTTGGTGCCATCAGTTCACATAGTAACCTAGAACTCTGTATACACCCATGTGTGCGTGTGCGTTTGGACAGGCTGCTTTAACGCTAGTGGTTGCTTCTGCTTTCTGGTGTGCTGTGGTTCTGTGCATGTAGCTCTGTTGTAGCAATTGGTCCATATGGGCATTTGTATCCCCGAACTTGGTACTGTCTAGTATGTCCTTCTGTGCTATCTGTAACAAAAGTCTTTTCCATATATGTCTAAGCATTGAAAATAACAGCTAATATGGCAAACAAGCTGATTTTTAAACTGATTTTTTTTAATTTAAATATCATAGTGTGCTTGGTGCATGCTGTATTGGACTGCATAGCTGTTATTCATTTTTTAAAAGTATCTAATTTTTTTTTTTTTTTTTTTTTTTTACATTTTTTTTTTTGTGCTGTTTTTGTCCTTTCCTTTCCTGGTCTGCTGCACCTTACACTGTGGGGGCCCATTTGTATAGGGAAGCTCTTCATACCTCCTTGGTGGAGGGGAGTGAGCCAGATTGTGCTTCTGCCACATAGACACTCCAATGTTGCAGTGTGCCCAGGCCATAGAACTAATGCTTGAATTTTTCCCACAGTGCTCAACATTTCATTAAATTTATGTAAAAACTGGTTTTGTTGATTTTTTTTTCTTTTCTTTTCTTTTTTTTTTTTTTAAGATTGGTTTCTCTGTAGCTCTGACTGTCCTGGAACTTGCTGTCTGTCTTTACAGAGATCACCTGCCTCTGCCTTCTAGTGCTGGGATTAAAGATGTGCACAACCACATAACAGCCCTAAAACTTGCTTGTTTTGAAATACGATCTTACTACTAGTCCATGCTGGCCTCAGACTTGTGATTTTCCAATCTCTGCTTCCTGATTGCTGGGATTATAGGCTTATACCATGTGCTTCGCCTTTTGTAAAATTCTTAAAAAGACTGATAAGACTGATGAGATGGTTTGGTGGGTGCAAGCATAGGAACCTTAGCAACCTAACACCCATACAAAAGATAGCCAGTATTCTGGGGGGTGGGGTAGAGACAGCGTGAAGATACCCGGAGGCCCCCTGGCCAACCATCTAGCCAAACTGCTGAACTTCAGGTCCAGAGAAGACCCTGTCTCAAAAAATTAGGTAGAGAAAGCTGAGAGATGGCTTGGTGGATAAAGCAAATTTGAAGGCTGCAAAGTCCATGTAAGAGCCTGGTGGGTATGGTAGTCGGGGCCAGTATTGCCTTCTTCTGATTGATTACTTCAGATCCATTCTTTGTGATGCAGGATGATATTCCTGTATCCTGTGTGAGTCCTGCACACCTAGACCAAAGCTTTAGCAGGGCCCATAAAATCCTTTAACACTGGTCGTTGTTATCTTCCCCCTTTTTTTCCTTCTGTACTCAGTCTCTGGTCCCTGCCCTCTTTTGTATCCCAGCAATTCAAAATGTTTTCACTCCATAGTCTATAAAACAACAACCCACCACCTTTTGGGACTTCTTCTTTCTTTTACCGTTTGACAATTTTGTGCTTACCATTATGAACCAGTGTAGGCATGCCACTTGAGGCTACGGATGTGAGTGGTGCAGGTTGGGGGCGCTGATAGGCTGAGGCAGTTAGTAAACTGGCAGGCTTTCTTATGGAATGGGAAGCGTTTGCTGAGAAAAATTGCTGAGAGAACTTAAATCTTATGATAGTGAAGTCAGTCCCACATGTGACCTATTTTCTGTTTAGCCTTATATTTAAATCTGCCAGTTTGAAGAAGTGAAAGGTCACGGCTGGATTAGTTGAATGGTAAGGAGCCACAGTGACAGCTACCAAGGAAACATCCAAGCTCCAAGTGTTTATACTGTGTGTGTGCAGGCCATAAAGAGACTTGAGGGTAAGGCGGAAGCAAGGCACAGTGCCTGCCTTTCTCCTACCTGCCTGCTCCTTTGTTGGCACAACTGTGCATGGGTAGTTGTTCTCTGATAGCTACTTCAGAAGCTGGCTTTAAGGGACCAGCCAGATTCCCTGCTCGTCTACAGATTGAATGCTGTCTCACCTTAAAGGGGCAAGTAAAATGTGTTCTATGTCACTAAGCAAAAGAAAGATGGTATTGTCCCAGATTTTGTGGTGGTGGTGATAAGACTATCATAGTGGCAAGTGGGGTCCACTTTGGGTTCATAGACTGATTGGGTTTCTGCCTGTAACCAAACTAATGAACTCTCCTTTTTAACCAGGAATCCCGGCTAGTGGCTGGTGTCGCATTCAAGAAGACTTTCTCTTATGCTGGGTTTGAAATGCAGCCCAAGAAGTATAAGAACCCCAAGATTGCCCTCTTAAATGTTGAGCTCGAGCTGAAAGCAGAGAAAGATAATGCTGAAATCCGAGTCCACACGGTGGAGGTAGGTTCCCCCTAACGGGAAGGAAGCAGATAACTTTCTGGGTGAGGTCCTCCGGTCTCTAGGTTGTTGCCAGCCAGCTCTGTTTCTTGGGTTCCTGTGGGTACTATGTTTTGCCTCTGCCCATTCCCATGTTTGCATATCTTGGCCCACTAATGCTCTCACGGAATGACTTTCACCTGGAGTAGCTTGAATGTGAAAACCAACTGAGCGACTGTGCTCTCTGCCTTTTAGGGATGGGCCCTCCAGCTTGCCTGAAGTTATTCTTTTCTCCATGTTAATGGTAATTGAACTTAAAAGCTCACATGCACTAAGTAGGGCTCTACCACTGGGGTATACCCCTAGTCCCCTTTTTAGTTTATTTTTTGAGACACAGTTTCTCTGTGTAGCCCTGGGTCCTGGAACTCACTATATAGACCAGGCTGACCACAGAAATCCACCTGCTTCTACCTCCTGAGTGCTGGAACTAAAGGTGTGTGCCACAACTCCCGGCTTGCCTACTCTTTTTAAAATCTTTAAATTAAAATTGTTATTTGTGTAGAGAAATGTTATTTCAGAACATGGCTGCTCTGGCAAGAGATCACATCCAAAGACCTTTTAGGTCTACATGTCCCATCTGGAATATAGACAAGCCTTTAATCCAGGAGACAGGCAAGCAGGTCTCAGTTCTGTACTGGCCTGGTATAGAGCAAGTTTCAGGTAAAGAAAAGCTTAGGTCCAGGTATGGTGGTACACATCTTTAATTGCAAATAAGAAAAAGTTAGTTTGTAGAAGGAAGCACCCATGTTTGAAAGTGATATCTAATTGAGTGACAGAAACAATGACGAATCAGAGAAAGACTTAACAAAATAAGATACACTTAAATCTCATGAGATGAAATTGGAAAGGGAAGCTACTTAAGGGGCAAGGAGAGAGGAAGGCAGTTTAACCGGCACAGTAACAGACAGGTTGCAGAGAGAGAACTCAGGGGAAGACTGAACGAGCTGGAGGATGAGAAGGAGCCAAGATATTAGAGCAGATTGTTGGAGTTAGTTTGTACTCTTCCTACCTCAATCCTGAGTGTCTGGGATAACAAGTTTACATCATCAGCTATGGTTTGCCTGCATTGTGGTTCTCATTGGTCAGACAGGTCTCTTTTCAACTGAGTCTCATGAACTCTGTTCCTACCATTGTGGTTCCCAAGACTGCCTCTAGGTAGCAGTGTATGCCAGCACAGAATGACCTTTGTGGTAGCAGAGGTCTTATTGGGACATCCCTAGGCACATCTCCCAGAAGAGGTTAAACTATTCTTCATACCTTAGCAGTGCCACAAGTTCTAGCAAAGCTCCCTCCATGAGGTTACTCTGTTTGAAGTGTTAAGTGGTTGCTGTGAACAGTCCTTGTATATTTGGACTCATTACTTCCTAGATAAATCAGTGTGTTTTCTGTGTGTGGCAGGATGAGTTGAAGTAGCCTGTTCTACACCAACCTCCATCCCAAAACACCCTCATATTTTTTGGGTTCCTAGGATTACCAGGCAATTGTTGATGCTGAGTGGAACATTCTCTATGATAAGTTAGAGAAGATCCATCAGTCTGGAGCCAAAGTCATCTTGTCCAAACTCCCTATTGGGGATGTGGCCACACAGTACTTTGCTGATAGGGACATGTTCTGTGCTGGCCGTGTACCTGAGGAGGATCTGAAGAGGACAATGATGGTAAGAAGCCTTCATGTGTTGTTGCCTGTCTTTCATGGCCCTGAGTTGTTTTCTCTGTCCCTGATGTTGTGGAATAGACTGTCAGGTTGTCCCTGTTTGTTAACTCTATTTGTCAAGAAATGCTCTATGCCAGCCAGCGTCTGTATGCCCAGTAATAGAAACCATTTTCAGTTCACTGACCAAGGCGGGTCAGGAAGTGGTGGTGCACAGCAGCAGCACTGTGCTCACTAGCAGGTCAGGCTCAACGGGTATCACCTCCAGCTAAGGTTTTCCCTCTTGGTATCTCAGATGGCCCCTGTAGTCTAAAGAACTGCTCCAAAGTAGAGTTGCTGGACCCAGAGCACCAGGCGTCAGGTCCCTGTCTCCTTTTAACAAGACCCTTTTGCCCTTTGTGTGTTTGGTTTGGTTTTGATTTCCATCTTATAAGGGGTAATAGGGATCATCTAAAGGTCAGGGTAAAGGTATGCTACCCTGTACAGAGGACTATAAGATTCTGTGGCAGATTGAACTTGGAAACTGGCTTATTGAATGGGTGGCAGGAGGCCAGTTGGCCTCATTGATGTTTTTTCTTTGCTCCTCAGGCCTGTGGAGGCTCAATCCAGACCAGTGTGAATGCTCTGACTCCAGATGTGCTGGGCAGCTGCCAGGTGTTTGAAGAGACCCAAATTGGAGGCGAGCGGTGAGCCTATGTACTTAGCTCCCAAGAACTGCTTAGGTCTGCCCCAAACCCTTTCTTTCCTCATGTTCTGGGTGAGGTATATGGGTGGTCCTATTCTTTTTTTAACATATTTGGGGGAGGAAGGGATAAAGAGCTCAGATTCAGTGTGATACAGAAGGGGAAAAGTTTTAGTTGGATCTTGGACCCAATACCACCCAAGCCCTGCGTGCAAATACCTTTAAGGTTAGGATTGACAGCATGAGTGAACAGGAGCTGCTCCCTCTTGTGAGGGCTTGGCAGGGAGATCAGACGTCAGGATGGCGGCAATTCATGTGTGCACCATTGTATCCTGAACATAGGTACAATTTCTTCACTGGCTGCACTAAGGCCAAGACATGTACCATCATCCTTCGTGGAGGTGCTGAGCAGTTTATGGAGGAGACGGAGAGGTCCCTGCATGACGCCATCATGATTGTGAGGAGGGCCATCAAGGTACTGGGATGACAGCCTGTTGCCGGCACCGTCCCCTAACCCAGAACTGATAAGATCTTGGATTTATTATAACCTGTCCTTTCCTAGGTGGCATGTTGGGCTTTGATTTCCTCCTGCATATCACAAGGCTAGGTCATCATGGAAGAAACAACTTCAACCTCACATAGGCCATGCTGTTCTAAAGATTAAAAGTAGTTATTAGCAAACTGGGGCTGATGTATTTAGCTGTCCTCCTGAAGTGGCTAGGGCTGAAGCTAGGGTGTGCTGGAGGCTGGCTGTGTCTGAACTCCTAGGGCTTGGGAAGGGAGTCAGGACACAGCAGATTCACTTTCTCGGCTGGAGGATTTGCATTGTAGCCCAACTTGAAGTCTTGAGTTGGGCCACTGCATTGAGAGCTCTTTGGTTTCTGCAGAATGACTCTGTGGTGGCTGGTGGTGGAGCCATCGAGATGGAGCTCTCCAAATACTTGCGCGATTACTCACGGACCATTCCAGGGAAACAGCAGCTGCTGATTGGGGCATATGCTAAGGCCCTGGAGATTATTCCTCGACAGTTATGTGACAACGCTGGCTTTGACGCCACAAACATCCTCAACAAGCTGCGGGCTCAACATGCACAGGTAGCTAGTTACCTGCTGCCCTGGGGGTCCAGGGATTGGGTGGATGAGGGTAGGCTTGTCTACTGGGAATGCAGTCACTAACAGGTGCAGTGAGCAACTGTCTCCTACCAGTGCCAGGCCTAGAAACAGCCCCTTCCTGACAAGACCTGCGTGCTTGTGGTCCATGCCCAGAGTTGGAAGCATATATTGGCAGGAAGTGAAAGGTGCATTATGTCTTGTGGTGGAAAGTACTGTCAAGCCACAATCCTGGTAATTGAGTCATTTGGAAGGTATGCAGGAAGAAATGAAAGGAGTTCCATAATGCCTCCATTCTCTTTCAGGGAGGCAAGTGGTATGGGGTAGACATCAACAACGAGGACATCGCCGACAACTTCCAGGCCTTTGTATGGGAGCCAGCCATGGTGCGCATCAATGCCCTTACAGCGGCCTCTGAGGCTGCGTGCCTGATTGTATCTGTGGATGAGACTATCAAGAACCCCCGATCCACTGTGGATGGTCCCCCAGGAGCCGCTCGGGGCCGAGGCCAAGGGCGCCTCCATTGAGCGGCAGTCTGCACACCTCCCTGTGAGGTGAACTGTGGTTGAGGAAGTGGTTGATTGGTCTGCTGTGTTCTCACTGGAGGTTATTTAAAGAAAACGTAAAAAGTTACTTGGTCAGAGGTTTTTCTCATAGACATTCTCCTGCCTCTCAGAATTTGAGCTGTGTGTGCACTTAAGAATTGTTGGCCTCAGGTGAGTTTGTTGGCCCTTGTCTAGAAGTCACACTGCAGTGGCAGTTCTGAGAAGTAGCTAGGAGGTATGGCGGCTTCCTTTTCTCCCGGTGTCTTTGATCCTGCTAGCTCAGACACTGCACCCAACACTGTACACAATACAGTATCTGGTCATGTTCCATGTCTGCTCTTTCTGTACTTCATGTTCCGAGCTCAGGTGTTTCATCCTAACACTTTTAAGTGATGACTCTGCAAGTATCAGGGCATCTGTATGTAATCTTTGGACTCTAGCAGCTTTTAAGGCTTTGAAAGAAAACAGCTCTTCTCTTTTGCTCGGTCACCTTCAGAGTCCCCTTTTAGTTTAAACTGGTACTGTGGCTTGAACCCAGGATCTGATATTTGCTAGGCAAGCACTTGCCACTGAGCTACCTGCCCAGCCCTAATTTTTCCCTGGGTTGATCAGTCTCTGTACTGTTAGATTCACTTGGGCCTCGCTTGACATGCTTTGTCTCCTACAGGTGCTGGGGCAACTGGCTTGTGTGTCACTAGCCAAGCTCCTGCTTTCTTGTGACCAAGTGCAGTTAAGAGTTGTTGGTACAGAAGGCTTCCAGGGTCTACCAGTACCTCAGTACTGCCAGATGCCCCCAAGCTCAAGCTGTAGCTACTGGTCATGGGCTGGAGGAGTCTTTTTGTGTAGTTGGCCTTGAGGCTGGGCAGGGTTCGTGAGCAGGTGTTCGCTCTTCCTGTGACTAGGTTGAAATTGCTGGCTCGCAACATGTACAGCATGCACTGTAGGCCAGACACCCAGTGCAAGCAGCCCATTTTGTGAAATTGAGACCAGGCTATGGTAGCAGCTTGGTCTCAACAAAGGGAAAAGTGATTGGCTGCCTCCTGAAGGGAGCCAATGGTAGAAGCCGCCATGGTAGACAGTGCCTACTCCTGTTCTGCCTGTGTTTACTTCAGGGTAGAGGTTTGGTGTATTTGAATGTCAAAAGCAAGTTTGACACGGGTAGCCCCAGCATTTATCCGCAGCCCTGAGGGTGCCTTCATTTATGCCATTGACTGGGTCCTACCTCAGTGTCCTTACCTGTAAAAAAAAAGTTGTAATGCAGGCTGAGGATGTTTGCTGGTGAGGTGCTTGCCTATCATGTGTAGAAGCCCTATTTGATTCCCAGGATGACACAAACTGGGTATGATGTACACACGTACTCCAAGCACCTGAGAGCTGGAGACAGTAAGACCAGGAGCTCAAGGTTTATCTTTGTAGAGTTCGAGGCTAGCCTAGGCTATATGAAACTCCCATAAGCAAGAGACACAACATGATAGGGCCTGGTGTCTGACAAAAATGGCCGTCAGACAGTTTTCAGTTTCACCATTTTTTATTGGATACAGAACCAATGATGCCCAAGAGTCCTTTTAGATACATACGCTGATACATTCGGCAAAGGGCATCTGGGTGACATGGAGCAAAGTGCTGGGATGGCAATGCCTGGGTGGGGCAGATAAGTGGGGCCAGGGAAGGCCCCCTGGGGGCTGGAGGTACAGGCACCACTTTATTAACAAAACTAAAACCAAAAGTTGCTACCCACCCCTCTGCCTAGTATGCACGGGGCAGTTTATAGCCTGGCTGTGCACAGGAAGGCAGGGCCTAGGATCCAGCTGTGGTCCCACCAGCAAATGCCCTCTGAGCCACCTCAGGCCTCAGACCCTTACCAGGGCTGAGCAGAGGCTGGAGGGTTCCAGGCCAAGCTCCCCCTGGGCTGTGATAATGGCAGAGGCCCAGAGCTGGCCTCATGGTGGAGTGCCTGCTTGATTGTCTCGGGCAGTCTTGGGACTAAAGTCCCAAAATGTTGAGGAAAGCCTAATTTTCTGCTCTTCACCCAACCTTCAGCCTTGTCCTTTTGGGTAAGGACTCCAGCTGAGCTCACTTGTCCAGGAGTGAATATACACATCACACATTAATATATTACAGAGAGACTGGCCTACGCCGAGGCTAGATGAGAAAGCATGGCCACTAGGGGCAGAAAGACTGCCAAGTCTTCAGGGGCTGACAGGCTAAGGTTCATCCCATCAGTGGTTAACTCCGGGGCACTGGGCCATTCCACTTAATCTCACTTTTCCCCGAGTTCACCAGGAACTATCTTTGGCACCAACTGTTGCTCTGGGAAGTTTTCCTTCAACTTAGTGCCTTACAGAGACAGGTTGACAGCTTACTACCTGTGTTCTGCATTCTAGATCAGAGCTGGAAACGGAGGAGCAAGCCATGGGAAGGAGGCCTCTTTGTTAGGTTTCTGAGGCAATTCTTGAGGCTGACTCAGCTTCTATTGTCAATGAGGGTTTTGTTTTGTTTTTTTAATTTTTTTTTTCAGGGTGCTCTCTGTTGATGGGTGGAAAGCTGGGGTTCCAGGCAGGGGTGCATACATTTTTGCCATATTGTGGGGAAAAACAGCCTGTGTAAGTAAGCATGAAGTACTCAAGCTAAACATGCCGCAACTCAGTTGCTAGGGCCAGGCTGTGTGGCAGGGGATGGGAGTGGAAGAGATACCAAGTGGCTGCCACCCATGAGCCTTCTCCATAGACCAGTGTTTCTGGAGCAGGGCATGCCCTCATGCACTCTTTCTGTACTTAATATTAAGTATGAGACGCAAGGGGCTCCCCTTTGAGTGGCTGAAGAACAGCTAAGGTGCTCCTAAGGAAGCCATGTGCCCCATCAGCAACTGGTTCTGTGACTGCTGAAGATGGAATTGAGTACAGCACCCAAAAGCAGGGTTGGTCCCCTGGGGAAAAAGCAAAGGAACCACAAGTCGGGGGCGGGGGCAGATCTGCGTCTCAAGTCATGCCTTAAGACTAAGACGCCCAAGACTCAGGCAGGACACAGTGACCTGTCACTTAGGTTGATAAAGGCTTAGGTCTGCAATTTTCACTCTACCCACCTTTACTTAACACAAGAACACAGGTTTCTTTCAAAAGCCGTTCAGAGGGCAGACTTGTGTCAACAGAAGGGCTAGGTTTCCCTCTCCATGGATCAGGATGCTGTGTAGATAGAGTAGAGCCTGGGACTAGCATGCTCCCTACCCTGACGGCTGTGTACCCTGACCTGTTTCCCCCCTCCAGGCATTCTAATGCCTTCCCTACCCAGGGAGATGTCCAAATCCTGCGGCTGAGGAATGGAAGCCCCTAGGGGCAGGTGTGGCCAACTACCACATCACTTTGTGCTTTATCCAAGAGACAGGAAGGGCAGCACCTCTGGTCATAAGAGTCTCAGGGCAGGGGCTGCATGGATGTAGCTGGCACAACTGACCTGCCGAAGGCAGCACTGGACCCCAAGTGCACCTCCGCCTCCCTCCCGGGCCACTAAGGGAGAGGGAAGTTGTGCTGTTGCCTGTGACTCCTGGGGACGGAGCTGAGGAGGCGGGAGCAACTGGAGGCAGCTGTGAGAGGTAGGGGCATATAGATACCACACAGCCAAGGTTTCATGCAGGACTGGGCATGGAGTATCCAGCATTGACAACCTTGGCATTTTAGTCTTCAGAAAGCAGGGACAGAACAAGCCACAGAACTCAATAATGATGAGCTGGGCCAGAGCTATGGGACCTGGGAGCATTGAGCGGGAGGGTGTGCAGCAAAGCAAGGGACCTGTTAGGCAGTAACCCAGATGGCTTAGTGCCCAGTCCAGGTTGTGGCACAGCTGGAGAAAACTGGCAAAAGGATTCCACCTTACACAGGAGCAAAGAAAACTCTTAAGATTTGGATGACAAGCCAGGCATTTGAAAGATGGGCCCAAATGAGGGTTGCCAAGACTCATGGTTGCAGCCAAATCCAAGTTCTGAGAGGAGAAACTCAGCTAGGGATGCTCAGTCTGTGGGACTTTGGCGCTCAGACAGACTTTTCAGGTACAGTGCAAGGCCACTGACACCCAACCCCAAATATTCTGTGGTTTCTGCCCAGGGCTGTAAAGACTTAGGAAGACAGGCTGTGGAAATTCTTCCTGTCTGGCACCAGAATCTGGCTCCTTGCCAAAGCCTCCTCCTCAAGCAATCCCCCTTTCCCCAAGCCCCAGCACAGCAGGTAGCCAAAGGTCCTCCCTCTTAATGGCCTTGCCGCCTGAAAGACTTTGGGAAATCCTAAAGTGCCTGGGTTAAGAGGTCCCTTCTTACTGTAGCTTTGCTGGGACCTCTGCCCCAGAGACTGCTTTGAGCTTAGCTCTGGGGTGTGAGATGATAAGTCTTTTGTCTTAGAAACAGTCTCCTCCAAACTGGCCAGTCCTTTACCTGCTTGGGAAGTGTGGGCCTCTTCCTAGGGAGTTCTAGACATTTTTTACCCTTGGAAACCCATTCCTATGGCCCTGTCCAACTTTCAGCTAACCTTGTACCTGGGTTCCTAGGCTTGCCTGCATCATCACTGGAGAATACAAATCTGGAAGAAAGGCCCTCTGTCTGAAGGGAGTGCCCTGCAGAGGGCCTAGCCAGGGAAAAGGGAGAAGAGCCCTCCTTGCTATGTGTGAGCTGCCTTAAGCCCCTTCTGGTCTGTGACCTGACAGGCTCCTGACCAGGAGATGGCCTCAGGAAGGAGAGACCTGCCTGAGCAGCTGAGGAGCCGCTGGATGGCTACTGCAGATCCTCTGAGCAGTGACAACCAGGTGCTGGTGTGCCAGCTGTGCCAGAAGGCTGCTGCCACTGGGGATGTGAGGGAGTTCTCAGGGCAGCATTGTCTGTCCAAGCCCCTGCCCTGGGGAGGCAGTGCTCTGGGTCACCTGTCACTCTGCTGTCCCAACTGGACAGGATATTCAATCACTGTCAGGAACCTGGGGTAACATGAGGCCTCCAAGGGTCTAGTCCAAGCCAGGGCCCCTCCAGAGTTCCAAAGAGCGCCTTGATGTGGGGCTGGCAGGGGCCCTGCCGCCCCTTGCCCGGGTTAGCAGCCACCTTCTACCTTGATGTGCAGAATCTTCGAGAAGCCAGGCCTTCGTCGAAGGGCCTGTAGATAAGAGCCCTAAGTTAGCTCGTCCTTAGTACTGGACAAGTGAACTACTGCCACCCTCACCAGCCCAGGCCAAGGGATCTTGATGGCCTTAAGAGGCCACCTCTCACCTGGAGTTTTGTCACCATATCCTCAAACAGCTTCTGAGCCTCGGGACTGCTGGGCTCTTTGAAGTAATCAGCAATCCCGATCTGCACCACAATGGATTTGAGATTCCGGCAGATGCCTGGGAGAAGATAGTAAGGGGGTCAGGGCTTAGCAAGGGCAGTGGGCTGCATCTTTTCCTCTCACGAATGAGAGCAGAGCCCCACTGAGGAACAAATAGGGGCTAGCCACAGCAAGGAGTGCCAAGCCTGTGCTGGCTGCAGCTTGTAACAGAGCATCTTAAGAAGATGGGTAAAGATGTCCTGGGAGGACAAGTGTGACAATGAGCTGCTCAGTGCCCTAGCAACTTCTTGGCAGAGTACCATGGCCTGGGCATTTGGAAATGACTAAAGGGGCAGAGCTGCTGAACTCAGGCTGAATGTGGAGCGGGGGAGGTTGGAGGCAATCCAGTCTTGAAGCAAGAATTTCAAGAACTAGCAGCTATGCTGTCAGGGAGAGGCAGAGAGAGGTCAGGAGCTGGAAGGGGCCTGAAGAGCATGATCTGGAGGACTGGATAGTGAGTTCTGATGGACCATTTAGATAGACACAAAGAATAAGGTAAGAGGAGGGCCCAGGAGGTGATAAGGTCAAAGTCACCCCAGCTACTCAAGAGATGTAAGGCTGGGGGATCGGAAGTTCAAGGTCTGCCGGTACAGCTTAGTGAGACTGTCTCAAAATAAAAATGGAAAAAGCCAGGTGTGGTGAAGCACACCTTTAGTCCCTTCCACTGGGAAGGCAGAGGGCAGCCTGATCTACATAGTGCGCTCCAGCACAGCCAAGGCTATGCAGAGAAACCCTGTCTCATAAAGGGGGAGGGGAGGGACTGGGAGCATAGTTTAGTGGTACAGCTCCTAAAGGCCTGGATTTAATTCCCAGTACTGGGGGAAGAGGGAAGATTATGGAGATTTCCCAGAGGCCACATGATCCTGAGCAGTGGTTCACAGGGAAGGCAGATGGGAGGGTGTGGGCAGCCAAGGAATCAGCATTTAGTCCTTACCCCAAGAAATGCCCCTGAGGTCTTAAACATAGTTTAGCCTACCATCTAGAAAATAAAGATCAGACTGCAGGTTTCAGAAAGCAAGGTCACACTCTGAAGAGCAGCATCGCAACCCTTGTTTGCTGCTCTCTGCTTCTACCTCAGTGGGAGGCTCGCATGGGAACTAACGGCACCACACACACAACTCTTGGTGCCACTGTAGGCCAGCACAGAACAGTGGACATCCTGCGCAGCTGAACAGGTGACACTAAACGCCGCAGGGCCTGAAGTGCCAACCATGGCCTCACAGAGACTCAGAATGAGCCAAGGCGAAAACACTGTCTGCCCCAGCACTGGTGCATGCTTGTTGGAACAACAGGAAACGGTCACACTACCTGCTTGTAGCAGTGGAACAGCCATTACCATTTCATCAGAGTGGCTATGACTATCCCAAGAGACTCTCAAGGTTATTCCTATTAATTTTTCCCTCAGAAGAACTTAAGCGTTATCAGGCATACCCTCACCTGGGCTATCTGCCAGGCCCTACTCCCCATCTCTCCCAGATGTGTGCAACTTTGCCCCAGATGCATGTGGTCCCTGCAGGCACCGCTGTACGAAGAGCTATGAGGTGCCTGTCCCCTGTGCTGAGACTTGAGTGCACAGGTTCTTTAGGGTGACCCACGCTAAGTAAACACAATGGTTCTCCAAGATGGGTTCTGGTGGCATTATTTGGAGGAGCAAGCATCTGTTTCCAACACTCCAGGAAAAGTTCACCCAGTGCTGCAAAATGTCCAAGGATAGCCATACCCTGCCCCGCACTCCCAAACCCCCATTGCTCACTGTTAAAATGGAGCAGAGCCTTAGGGGTGACAGGGGTGGCCGTGAGCACCAGCATCTCCAGTCCTTTCAGGCCTTCCCGGCAGACCTCAGCCGCCACCTCCTGGGTAATCTCTGACACATGGTCCAGTTCCAGGACCTGCAGCCGCATACAGTTTCTTGCTAGGAGAGGAAGAAGAGAGGCCTGGTGACAAACTCCCTGCCCCATCCGTCCAGCACTGTCTCTCACCATCACCCAGGCTGCAGTCCCGAACTCTGGCGGGACTGTGCAGACAGCATCTCACCCGTGCCTGCTTCTTACCAACCGCATGGAAAGACTCACCAAGCGATGCCAGGCCCTGCACCCCACAGCCGGCACCACCTACGCCCAGGGCCCGGAGGTGGGGCCAACAGCGTCCAATCATCTGCAGGCAACGGTTGCTGAACCTGGTGGGCTGCTGGCTGAAGAACAGAGAGTGGAGAGTGGTCAGGGAGCCATTGTATTCTCAAGTGGGATCATCACTGGCGGATTCTTTTCCATGCCTCAGGCAAGGAGGCTTTGCCAACAGGCCAGCCTTTCAAGTCAGAAAACAGCTCATCTCTGACTCTGTCTTCTCCCCTCTGGCTACATCTGGCAGCTTTAGACTGTGGGCCATCCAGAGCTGTAGAGCAAGCAGAGCCTCACCCTGGTCTCCATTCACCCTGCACCTGGTGGCCAGATACTCATCAGGCAGTTATCAAGTGTGTGTTACAGCCGCAACAGACAAGCCAGGCTCTGGAGTGCAGGGTGACAATGAAGACGAGGCTCCTACCCTCCTGCCCTGTGACATACAACATTTTAGCATTCTGACCTTTCTCCAGAGCCTCTGCCACATGTTCTTGAACTTGTAGCAATCCTCCTGCCTCAGCCTCCCAAGTGCTGAGATTATAGACACCTAGCTTTCGGTACCTTTATGACTTTAATTGTTTATAGGTTTTTTTTAAGAGTCTCTCATGTAGCCCAGGCTGAGTGACTTCAAACTCATGATACAGCTGAGGAGCCTCTTGCTTCTACCTCCCAAGAGCTGAGATGACAGGCATGTGCCACCAGGCCTGACTCAAATCCCGTCTTGAAACTGACCATCTCCCCGTTAGTTTCCTAGTACTTTCTAGATAAGATGCACAGGTCTGTCTGCATTTTTTTTTTCCTGCTTTTTTTCTGAGACAGGCTTTCACTGTGTAGCCCTGGATATCCTGGAACTCACTCTGTAGGCCAGGCTGGCCTCAAATTCAGGGACCCACCTGCCTCTGCCTCCCAAGTGCTGGGGCTAAAGGTGTGCGCCACCACCCAGCAGGTCTACATCTCTTAGCAAGGCCTTCCCAACATTTCCCAGCTTGACTTCCAACATCATCGTGGGCTTGCCTACCCCACTCACACCAACTTGACCCCTGAACATCCACTCAGGCAACAGTAGCTCTGCCATCTGATATGCCCGTGGTAGCAAGTACTCAAAAATGTACTTTCATGGAGTCTGCCTTGGGAACTGTCTAGTAGAGGAGCCTTAACTAAAAATTACTACAGAACAGATGCTACTAAGGGTTGAATGGGGGCCAGTGGGAGCCAAGCAGGAGACCACAATGCGACTACGCCAGGGTATTAGAGAAAGCATATTAGTGGATGCCGGAGGGGCTGGCACCTAGGGAGATCACTGGGAGGGTAGGGGCAGGGCACAGAGAAGCCTGGTAATTTGAGGAAGTTCCAAGTAGAGCAAGCGACCATTCATACCCTGGGTTGTCCAACCACACATTTGTTCTTGTTTTGAGATGAACTCTTGCTAAATTGCTTATACAGGTCTCAAATTCACAATCTCTGGGCCTATGACAGGTGTGTGACATCACCTAGTTTCCTCTGGTGTGTTATTAATGACTTCCCTGACCTGCTTCCACTATGTCAGGCTACTGCTGACTGATCACATAGTATGGACTGTAAAGTCTCTGTGGATAGGACATCACTGAGCCAGGAACAGCTCTCATTATCTAAGCTGCAAAACTAAGCATGAGTAGCAATGCCAGGCTGTCAGGATGGCTCAGCGGGTCAAGGCATTTACCATAATGCCTGATGACATAAATTTGATCTCACAGACTCACATGGTAGAAGGAAAGAATGAGACTTCTGTTAAGTTGTTCCCTGACCTCTATACACATACCAAATTCCTTCCCCAAAATATATACTGAAAAAATTTAAGTGGCCCTGCTAGCAAGCAAGCAAGAGCAAGACTCCAGGTCCCATATTACAGCCCTGCTCCCATTTTATTTTTTGTTTTGTTTTGTTTTTTCTTCTCAAGATAGGGTTTTTCTGTGTAGCCTTGGCTGTCCTGAACTCACTTTGAAGTCCAGGCTGGCCTTGAACTCACAAGAGATCTGCCTGCCTCTGTCTCCCAGAGTGCTGGGATTACAGTGCTACACCTGCCCGGCTAGCCCTGCTCCTAATTATCAACAGAATAATCAATGTGTGTAATCTGTCCACAACAGCTGACCTGACCTCTGCTCAGGCCCACTGCTCCTCCCCCCCCCCCCCCCACCTCCCTCCCCTTGCCTGGGCTTACCACGGGTGAAGTGGCGCCACCTGGAGGGAGACAATCTCTCTGCAGCCTGCGCCCAGGGCCCAGATCACCTCATGGCCAACAGGGTCTGTGGCACTCCTGTGGAAAAGCCAAACCTCAAGTGGCCCATCTTTGCCGCCTCTGTTCCCATCAAGAGGCAAGAGCATGTGGTATCTAGGGACCTTTGGGAACCAAGGCACAGAAGAGGGGAGCTGTGCTTCTGGCAGGAAAGACCTACCTGTAGGTGACAGCCTGCAGCGCACGGCAGTAGCAGCTGGCCAGCCAGAGGGACCGGTCAGTAAGGATGTTGGGGCAGTGGGAAATGCGCAGGATCAGCAGGTTCCCACCGGCCGCCTTCAGCAGGGACTCCAGCCCTGCTTCAAGGCAGCCCCTGAGGATGACCAAACAGGTCAGGGAGCTGCTGGTGGTCCTCATCTGGGAAGCCTCCCCACTTAACTCCTGGACTGTAGCCCAGAAGCACCCATGCCACCCACCCACCGCAGGCCTCACCGGGTGCTGCGGGCATATTCTTCCTTGCTCTCCTTCTTTCCCCGCTGTCGGGGCTTCAGATTCTGTAATGTTAATGAGTGAGCCTGGGTACACCACTGGGCCAACATCGCCAGGAACTGGGAAAGATCAAGTGATATGAACAGAGGTATGAACATGGTCGACTGCTGATGGGTTAGCCCCGAGTAGGAGGCACCATGAGCCTGGGGAACCAGGGCTATAAAGGGGTTACAGAGACTAGACTTAAGTCAGTTCTGCTGGTAAAAGCTGGGCTCCCAGGAGGGCAGGGGCAGGTACCTTGGAACAGACTCGGGCATTCTCCAGTAGCACTCTCGTCCAGACGGCAGGATGGCGGGCCACAAAGCGCCAGTCCCGACAGACCTCTGCAGCATGCAGCAGCGTACGGGTATCCAGGTAGGTGAAGATACAGAAGAGGGCAGCTCGCATCTTGAGGATTTCCGGGCTGATGACCTCATTGGAGCGTGAGGGGCTACCTCTCTCCACTCGACGGCCTCGCCCACTGCCTCCTTCGGGGCGGGCTGCAGAACACCAAAGGAGAGTACAAAGTAAGAGACCAGCTCAGGGCTGTGGGTGGGGGCTGGGGAAGGGCAGGAGCTTGCAGGAGTATGGGTCACCCCCCCCCACCGGTGACCACTGGGAAGACAAGGCCTCTGCTCTCCCTTTCTTTACAGTACCCCAAACTTTATTAATCAGAAAAGGGTGATGTCTGCTTCTGTGTCACCCACCAAAAACTTTTCTGGACATGGTCTCATGTATTCCAGCCTAGTCTTGAATTCGCAATGTAGCCCACAATGATCTTGAACTTCTGATTCTCCTGCACTTGCTACCCAAGTTCTAGGAATATAGGTGCATGCCACCAGGTTCAGTTTCAAGCACTCCACTAATGAAACTACCCGAGGGTAGCCCTACACTTTCCAAGGATCACCTGACTCTGACCTTCTAAGCCTTCCACATAAGTACAAAGCTACTCTGCCAAACCCCTGCTCTGTGCAAGGTGCTTCAGAGGCTAAACACTCAGCTCCTCTCCCTACCTGTGACGGAGCCCACCATGTACACAAACTCCCTTGAATGGGGCATCCTGAGGTCACTGCACATCCCCCACCCCTCGCTCCAAGCTTGGAAGGCGTTTGACAGGTAGGCAAATGGCCAAGGATCATCCTCCACCCTGTATCCCAAGAGATCCCAGCACCCTGGAAGGCTGGATTCCCCACCCACTCTCCCAGGACTTACCTGAGAGACGGCAGCTGTTCAAGGGCCCAGCTACAGCAGGTCCAGGGCGTGGGACATCAGAGGGGCCCTCAGCCTCTGACTCAGTAGTTCGGGAGCCCACATCTGAGACGTCACCCTCCTCCCCCTCGGTGCTGTGACGGCGCGGTCGGCGCTGCCAGTTCTGGATGGCCTGTCGTCGTAGGCCTGAACTACGAGGGGGCTGGGACCGCTCTGAACCACCGTTGGTAGCCTGGGCCCGTGAACCCAAGCCCCCAGGGCCACTGTCCTCCGAGGGCCCTTCCTCTGGCCGGGGCAGCTCCAGACTGTCACTGTCATAGCAGCCTGAGCTCTGGGATGCAGCTGGTACACGGCTGGAGGCCCTGGGGTGGGTGGGGGAGTGCATAGTGAAGGCTGGGGGATAGCAGACTGCTCTGACTCCCACACTTTCCTTACCACCAGCCAAGGGTAGCCCACTGTCCTGCCTTCCGAAAGTTCCCTGAGCGTGGAAAGGCAGAATGGTGATACCAGGGAAGGGTGGGCAGAGAAGGAGACAAGCCTCTGATGGGCCAGCAGACCTTCCAGGGTGAGGGTAGGCTGTGTGGGGTGGGCCAAGCCCGAGGCTTACCCTGTGCTGGGAGAGGAGCCATGCCGTGACACGGCGTACGTGCTTGGCACAGCTGGGCCTGCATGGTGATCTCGCTGCAGCCCCCAGAGAGGAAGGGAAAGGAAGGATGGGCAGAGAAGGCCAGAGAAGAAGGCAAGAGTAGGAGAGAGAGGAAGATGGAGAGAAGAAAAGAGAGAAGAGAGAAGAAAAAAGTTGGGAAAGATGGACGAATGGACAGACAGACAGTCCAGACAGGCAGGCTCCCAAATCCCCTCCCAAGCCATCCACCCAGCATCCCAACACCCAGCTTAAGGTTGGTTCCTAGGCGCTCATTTGAAATGGAAAGATGGGCTTCCAAAGGCTGGGGCTATAGAAGATGCCTGGCTACAGCCTCAGAGCCAGCACTCCCACCCTGTCAGAGTGTACCTCCCCCACCCCCACTTCAGACCAGCGGTTGCAGGCAAAAGAGGCAAAGCGGTGTGGTGTGTGGAAGGCTGTCGGGACCACATGAGCAAGTGAGAAGCCAGGGCAGGTACACATACTCACCATTCTGCCGGGGCCTCGCCCTCCAGGCCCCGAGGCACTGCCCCCACCTCCTCTGCCCAGGCTGGCACTCGGTGTGCTGCCACAGCTGCTACTGATGACCTGCAACTGGCGCTCGGCCCTGTCTGCGCGCTCCAGGAGCTCCTCAATGAACTGCTGCAGCCGCAGCTTGGCGCTGGCCTCCCGAGCCGCCGTCTCCTTCAGGAACTGGTCGATCTGCACCACCTCCCTGGGCCGGGAGCAGTCTCTTACTCCAGGTCCCTAGCCTGACTGCCCTCAAACTTTCCACTGGAGGAAAGCCTGGCCAGTGGAGAGATACCCAAGACAGTGGCCTATGGTGTTTGCTCATGGACCCAGGGATAATGCCCAGCACACAAGCCCACAGAATGGCACACACACTGCAAACAGGCAGACACACAAGACACACGCACAATAGGATACCCGTTTATACTGTCAACTTGACAGAATCTAGAATCACCTAGGAGACAAACCTCTGGACGCGTCTGTGAGGAAGTTTCTTGATAGTGCTGACTGAGGTAGGGAGATCTACCCTAAACTTGGATAGCACCATTCCATGGGCTGGGGTCTCAAACTGAATAAAACCTGAAAGCTAGTTGAGCAGCATGCCTCCGTCTCTCTCTGTTTCCTGGCTGACACAATTTGAACAGCGGCCTCATACTCCTGAGACTACACTCTTCCTGCCATGATAGACTGTGTTTACCCAAACCATGAGGCAAAAGAGACCCATTTTTCCTCCAAGTTCCTTCAAAATACATATTTTAGTACACTTGGCTGGGGAGAGCACTCAGCCACTTGTTAATCTTGCAGAAGACCCGAATTTGGTTCCCAGCACCTACATGCTGGCTCACAACCGCCTGTTACTCCAGTTTCAGGGAATCTGACAGCCTCTTCTGACTCCGTGGGCACAAGAGTCATATATGCAAGCACAATGCTCATTCACGTAATAAAATAGCAAAGATAAATCTAAAACAACAATTTAAGCAAATCTGTGCTCCTACACAGGTAGAGGCTGGAGGACAACATGAAGGAGCTGGTTCTCTCCTCTACCATGAGTCCCAATCGCCAGCCCTTTAGACTGTGTGGGCTATTCTGTCACAGCAACAAGAAGTGTAACTAAATCCACACAGTCCTCACTGACACAGTCACAGGTATGCTCATTCCCAGACTGTTACCTCCAGGCATAGGCAGAGTTCCATAAACAAAGCAGACACCCCTCCCCCCCAGTTCCCCGTGTCCTCAATACACTGGCTCCTCACATAGGAACACACCAAGCATACACTGAAAGCCTCACATATTCTAACATGGCCCCCAGCATGTTCCTATGTATGGAATCACATTCATTCTCAGGCACACTCATGCTCTAAAATACACCAAGAACCGTGGAGGCTCCCCAACCTGCTCAAATGCGCACACGTTCTCTAGGAAGCATCTAAAGGCAGGGAGACCATCAACACTGAGACGGAAAGCACTCCTGTAGTTTGTCCCAGCATCCAAGGGACCTAACACACAGCACACTCAGTTACCCAAGCGTGTGTATGTCCCCACCTGGACACAGCTGTTCACGCATCCATTAAACTCGCAGACTAGGTGCCAGATACAGTTTGAGATACTAGGAAAACATGACTGAACCAAACGCCTTGGATCCCAGCATTTGTGAGACAGTGGCAAGTGGATCACGGTGAATTCGAGGTGAGCCAGGAATACACAGAGAAACCTAAACAAACAAACAAAACCAAAAACAACAAAAGAAAATCCCTGCCTCAACAAAACTCATGTGACAATGGGGACAAACACAATGCCTGACTCTATGGAGTTCATAAGGCTCCATGTGAGAAGCCAGAAAATACTGAAGAAAAGGGACAAAGAGAGGAAAGCTAAGTGCTGTGGTACACGGCAATCATTTGTGAGGCTGGGTCAAGACGGTCTTGAGTGCAAAGGCTGCCTGGGCTACATAAGGAGGAAGCCTTCATCAGATGGTATAGGTGATCCAGTAAGATAATGAACATGAACTTTTCTGATGACACAGGACAGTGGTGGAAGTGGCAAAGTGACCCCAGAGAGTAGGGTCAAAAACAACTACAAATACAAGAAAAGCCTTCAAGGAAGCCAAGACCAAAGACGTAGAAGGTTAAAAGCAGCAAGTTTATGGCACCCGGAAAAGATGCAATTGCATCTGCATGCTTTTTACCACGTGCAGGAGGACATGGAGAACTGGGCTGCCTTTTTGAGTAGGCTAAAAGATCTGGTACCAAAATGCAAGCGCTGCCTGGCCTGGTTATCAAAAACAAACGTTCTTAAAGGTGGGCACAATACTCGACACTCGTAGATCCCAAATCACAACCATGACACTCTCCAGCTCACTAACAGCACCACCACGGACTCAGAACTTATGTCCCAAAACCTGGCCGCATGAAGACACCCCCGGCACATGCAGGATGAGTGAGTGACATCCACGGACACCTACCCACTGAACCCCCAAGGCCTACTCACTGTTGCTTGCGGCTCAGCTCCTGTTCCTTATGCACCAGGTCCTGCTTAAGCGAGGCCAGCAGCTCCACGCTCACATCCACTTGGCGCGAGAGTTCAGATGCACGCTCCTCCAGCTCCTCCTTCTCACGACCCAGGCGTGCGCTCTCCTGTCGCGCAGTCTCCAACTCTGCGGCCTTGCGTTCCAGCTCGGCCTGTAGCCGGCCCACCTGCCCCGCAATCTTCTGCTCCACCTCCTCGCTCAGCCGCTCCAGCCTCCGGTCCACCTCCAGCTTCTCCAGCGCGCGGATCTTGAGGCGTGCCAAGCCCTCTTCGTAGGCGACGTCCGCTGGCGATGGCGACGCCGGCGATGCAGAGGCAGGCCCCGAACAAGGACCAGGGCCAGGCCCGGGTGGCGGGGTCGAGCAGGCCGAAGATGCCACGGACTTGCGCGCGAACAGTTCGCCGAGTGGGATTTCGATCTCCCGGAGCGCATAGCGCGCGGCGGGCACCAGCCCCGGTTCGGCCAGCTCCTCGCAGGGCAGGCTGGCGGGCACCAGGTCACCGGGGAAGTGCGCGAGCGGCGCGTGGTGGTGATGGTGGTGCAGCAGGTGCGGCCCCGCGGGCGCTGGCCCCGCCGCCTGCTCCTTGCCCTGGAAGGACGTGCTCTCGAAGACCTCGCGCCGAGCCCCAGGCACAGCCAGCAGGGCAGCGGGCTCAGGTGCCAGCGGGAAGCCAGAGGCTGCGGCTGCTGCGGCAGCGGCGGCCGCCGCCCCGTCGCAGATGCTGTTCGTCTTGGAGAGGATGTAGAGCGTCTCGTAAGTGTGGCTGTACTCCAGGTGCGCGCGCAGCGACGACAGACTCCGGAAGCGCTTATGCTCCCCGCAGCGCGGGCAGCGGTAAGGTAGGTCCAGCGAGGCCATGGCCCCGCTGCCCTCGGGGCGCGCCGGCTCCACCGCGGCCGCCTCGCCGGTCAGCCGGGCGCGCTCATGGGGGGCCGCGGGTGGGCCCGGCCTGCGAGATCAGGGCGGCTCTGTTCACCAACAGCCAGGGCCCGGAAGCTAGAAGAGAGAAAGTGAGTCTCAGCAGCTTGGTAGCCCTGCTTCCGCCCACCACTCCCAGGTACCGCCACCCTGTACCCTATTTAGCTGGAAACCGAGGTGTCCAGATTGAGGGGCCAGAGGGGGCCAACAGCCACTGGCCTCCTGCCTTCCAAATGCTGAAATTACAAGGGCTACACACACACACACACACACACACACACACACACACACACACACACACACAGAGTTTGTTTTATTTAATGCTTGTTGTGGGAGGCTGGAGAGATGGCTCAACAGTAGTTACAAGCACTTGTTGCTCTTGTGGAGTACCTGGATTTGGTTCCCAAAACACACATAATGGTCACCAACCATTCTAGTACCTAGGGTTCCGTTACCTTCTTCTGACCTTCCTGGCACCAAGCAAGGAATACACATATGGCTGCCGGCAAAACACTCTTACACAAAATAATTTTAATTTTTTTTCTTTTGACACAGGTCTTCTCTGTGTAGCCTGGGATGACCTGGACTCACTTTGTTGACCAGGCTGGCCTCAAGCTCAACAGATTGCCTGCCTCTGCTTCCCAGAGTGCTGGGATTACAGACCTGTGCCACAGGGCTGCAAATTTTTAAAAATTTTAAGGAATGTTTGATTTTTTAAAAACTGTTTGCCAGTGGGGCGGGTGCTTGTAATCCCAGCACTTGGGAGGTGAAGCCAAGAGGAAGAGACATTCACCACTATCCTGAACCACTTAGAGGTCCACAGCTGGCCTGACCTACAGGAGACTCTGCCTCATAAAAACAAAACCAACTATTATTATCATCGTTACAAAAATTTTTTGTTTAAGGCAGGGTCTTACTCCCTAGACTTGCTGGCCTGGACCTCACAATGTATCTCAGGAACCTGTATCCATCACAAGAGACAAATCTATTTAGTATTACCTACAGGAAAGGAACCAAACTGAACATGCTGCAGGATTCCAGAGCTGGAAGGCAGGGCCAGACAAAATGGATGGTGGCACAAGTCAGAATTTCAGGTTCTCCCTGGGGGCTTCATGAACTGGGCAGGGGCAGGAAGGAACCTTGTGTGCTGTTGAGAATGTTCTGCAGCTTGATCGGGGTTGTGTTTATATATGCCTGTGTGGGTACAGCATAAAGGCACGTACAGGAACCCTGGGGCTATGTGCCCTAGCTCCTGTGTGAGATCTGAGGTCGTCTTCGAACAGACGAGTAATTTTCATCATGTAGACTGCACCACTGTAACTAAGCTGGAGGAACCAATATGCTTGCCCAGCTGTGATGATGTAGAAGGTGCTGTCCGCATGCCCACCATTCCACTGAAGGCCCACCAAAGGCACTGAAGGCCCTTTCCTCAAACTTGGATAAAGTGTGTCACTATGGAGGCAGGCTTTGAGGTCTTACTTGCTCCAGCTAAGCTCAGTGTGACACAGTCTCTGCCTGCTGCCTGTGGATCAAGATGTAGAGTTCTTAGCTCTGTCTCCAGCACCATGTCTTCCTGCAAGCTGTCACATTTCCCGCCATGGCAATAATGCACTAAGCCTCTGAAATAAAGCCAGCCCCAATAAAATGTTTTCCTTCATGAGTTGCAGTGGTTTTGGTGTCTCTTCACAGCAATAAAACCCTAAGGAAGACAGTGGGTTTTCCTCTGAGTTTTGTGACTTTCCTTGCTTAATTGATTCCAGCTTTTTTGTGGAGTAACCTACTGCCTCTCTGCTCCCACCAACTCAAACCTTAAACCTGCTATCAGCTCCACCTCTCTATCCTGATGGGTTCCAGACTCCTGCTTGCCTTCTGCCATTTCCTCATGGATATAGAGAGACATCCCACGGCCACCCAGCACCTAGCCACTGCCTTGGGATTTTGGGGATTCTGCCTTCCTTTCCCACTTTTCATCTACCCATGATGGGCTAGAGCATGTGATTCCTCTTTCTTGCTTACAATGGGATTTCCCTTTTTAAATAATAGATCCTGTGGTAGTTAGTGGCTGTTTCCCTTTTACATTTAATCCATTTATTTGGGGTGGAGTCGGTCATCATGCCATGGCATATGTGTGGAGGTGAGAAGTCAACCTGTGGGAGTCAGTTCTTTCCTCCACTATGTGGGATACAGGATCAAGCCTGGGTTGTCAGGCTTGGTGGCAATGTTCTTCACCTGCTGTGTACCTGAGCCATCTCCCTGGCCCCATGATGGCTAGTGTTAACTGTCTCCTTCACAGAACCTAGAATCATCTGGGAAATGGGCCATTGAGGAATTCTGATTTCAGTTGTTGAAGTGGAAGACTGCCCATTGTGGGTGAGACATCAGTCTCCGACTGGGATCCTCAACCATGCATGGAGAAAGAACTGAACAGCAGCCTGCCTTTAGTCCCCTCTATTTCCTGATCCTGCATGCAACCAGCTGCTTTAGGCTCCTGCTACCCTGACTTCCCTGCCGTGATGGCTGGTACCTTGAACTTGGGAGCTAAAATAAACCCTTTCTCCCTTGTTTTTGTTATGAAGACTGGAGAGGGTCCTTCTGCCTGAGGCCAGTAACCTAATATGGCCAAAAGGTAATGAAGAGTCAGTTCTTAGCTTTAAACTAAAATGAACTCAAGCAAACAGAGGCGGCAGGAAACTCAGAAGGAGGGCAGTCTGGGGCCTGCCTACTCTTGACTCCTCCCACCCTCCTGTGTCCTCTCCATAGAAACATCCATTATAAGCAAGGTGGAGTTTTTTTGGAGGCGCTGCAGCTTGAATAGGAAGAAGCCAAGGAGTTAGTGGCCTGCATGGCTCCATGGCAGGGGCCCTGGCTTGATGGAGCCCTCCTCCCAAGCCTGGGCTCCAGCAATGGGCAGCACAGGGTGTCTGTTGCTAAGAGACAACTCCCATTCCTCATCCCCACCACCACCAGGGAATTCATTCTGAAATTACAAGATCCAGTAAGGTCTCCGGCCTTGGGTAAACAAACACTCTGTGGATAAAGGAGGTAAGATGATGGAAAGCTCATCAGAGGATAAAGGCTGATAGATTCCTCGAAAAGCCTGGAAAACAAAAGTTACCCCTCAGATTGTTCCCTCTCCGCCCCTAAAGAGGCACTCTTCGGCCTCCTCTCACAAGGATAGAGAGTGCATGGATGCAAGGATGGGCTGAGGAGGTCAGAGCATCCTTGTTGCTAGTCAGAGGCATGGGCTGTGAACTAGGTGTTTTCCTCCCTCCCCCTCTTCAGCTGGGTAGTTCTTTCTTTCAGCTATCCAGTTTTCTCTCCATCAGTCTACTCTGGCCACAGATGGCAAGACCCCGAAGACTAGATTACTCCTTAATCAAACACAACACAATATTCTACTGAGGCTGGATGTGTCACAGGATGAGAATACGGGCTCGCTTCTTTTGGAGACAGGACAACCCCAGTTTTAAGTTTGTGATGGATGGCGGCATCAGGAAAACAGTCTAAATGGTTGAATAGTTAAATGGAAAGTCCTGTGTTTACTAAACTGCTCCTCTGTTGTGATACCCAGATCTGGTTTGTTGCACTCCCAGTTTTCTCTTACAGAGCTGTTTCCCGCCCTCTCTAAGTGGGCAGAGCACACCTGAGCCCCTGCCTCCCGGGAAGCATGTGTCTGCACTGTCAGAGACCTGGCAGTCTGGAGAGAAATAAACAAGGCTCCTGCTTCTGGTCAACATGTACCCCAGGACCTGTGTACAGCTGTCGGGACAGGAACCTGGTGCTTCTAGTGGTCTTTGTTTTCTCTGAGGGACAGAAGAAAAGGACTTGTGGTATCACTTGAAAAGTGACAGCTAAATGCACCCAAAGCTTCTGCTCAGTGCATAGGTCTTGTTGCTGTATGTGACATGTGTGACTTCTGCCAGCTCCTGAGTGCCACAGCATTCAGGTGACTGCAGGCTGTGTGCTGTGACGTGTGTGGAGGTCAGAGGACAACTTTAGGGTTGGTCCCTGCCTTTCCAGTTTCTTTTTCTATTTTGTGTGCACATGGAAAGCCTAAGCTAATACTAATACCATCTCCTTGGTCATCATCCCTTCCTCTTCACTGAGGTGGCATCTCTCAGTCCAACCCAGAGCTCACAGATATGGCTAGTCCTGCCTGCCAGCCTGCTCTGGGGAATCCCGTGTCTCTGCCTTCTGGAGCTGGAGTTCCAGGCAGGCCACCATGGCCACCTGGCATTTCTGTGGGGGATCCAAACTTCAGTCCTCACACCTGTGTGGCAGGTCTATGCTTTGTTTTTGTGGCTGTGGAAGATAGCTAGCTGATCTGAGAGCTTCTGGACAGTTCTGCCTCCACCTCCCACTTCACAGTAAGAATGCTGGGATTACAGATTTGTATAATGGCATCCAGTGTTGACACAGGTTCTTAGGATGAAACTCAGGTTTTCCGGCTTGCTTGAAGAGGCCTTTAACCCAGTAAGCAGTCTCTCCAGTTTACATATTGTATTTTTCAAATGACTCATTTGAACACAGTGCCAGACTCCAGTAATGAAACTCTTGCTGAATTCAGTGACCCACGGTGTCAAAAACACATTCCAAAGATTCGGAACTCCCACCCAACTCCCAGCAGCCTGGTTTCCTTCAGTGTTGCCACCCTTTCCCAGCTACACCTCTGGCCATCTTGGTTTTTCTCTCTTAAGGATGCTTTCAGCCCAAACATCCTTCCATGCTTTCTGCTCTTCCAGGCCAAGGCCTCCTCACAGCTGGGCTACAGAGCTACCCTTCAGTCTCAGAGCTCTCTTCATCATGTAAGGACATGAGCCCTTTTCTTTCCCCTTTTTAAGTTATTGTTATTTTTTGAGGCAGGTATCACTCTGCGGCCCGGGCTGAGCTGGCCTGCTACCTGTGCTCTCCCTGCACCATTTGTCTAGAGTGCTGGGACTCTAGGCATTTGCTTCCACACGCAGCTCCAGACCTCATCTCTCTGTTTAAAACCCATTCCATGGCCCCCCACTGCCTACCCACCACAGCCAGGTTCAGCTTCCAGTCTGGCCTCTACATGTTCTTCCAAACTTGAAAGG